CACTTTCAAAAAAAAAAAAATGGGTTCATGCAGGTGTTTTTTTTAAAAAACTGACAAGGCGGTGGATAAAAGCTGGTGAGCTGACCTCCTCCCCCCACCCACCCACCCACCCACCCACCCCCGCACTAGGCAGGCCACACAACAGCCTTGTTAAAGGCAGAATTCATTCAGCAGAGGGAGCCACAGCCTGGAAAAACCCACACGCTCCAGCCTCAGACTCTGCAACTCTCCCTTAATCTTCTCCAACTTGGCCCTCCCACTGAGAGCTGTGAATTGCTGCTGAGCATGTCCCAGTGGCCACCAGGTGAGTGGTGAATCCTTTGGTTGCAAGAAGGAACTCTTTACTTGGCATCCAACTTTGGAACAAGGCTGTGAGGATGCCCACGTAGCACATCTCCCTACCTATAAGCCAGAGATTGTCTATGGGGCAGAAGCCCTTGTCCTTTGCTTTCTGGCTTGGCTGGCCCAACTACACCACCTTCCCTTAACTGTTAGCTAAGGGTGAGCTAACATTGAAGAGTGCTTCATGGGGAACTGGAGATGGGGCATGTTTCTCAAATGAGCTGCACCTCGACCTATTTTGGCAAAACCCTGGGAACAGCAAAAGTTTAACAGGCTAACCACTGCAGCAACTGAGACAGATGGGATTAAATTTATTGCTGTGCTAATTCCAAAGAGGAATATGCAAAATATACAATATACGTGGCCCATCTTACACTGCAAAACAAGCTGCCCCAGAAGTTGGGGGGGACGGTTTTGGAAGTTGATCTGCTATGAAGAAGAGCTAGTCCAGATGCAGAGTGAGGGCACATAAGCTGAACCAACGCTGGCCGCTTTAAAAATGTTCTCACTGATATCCCAGGCTGCCTCAATTCTTCTCCTGCCCACAAAAGCCAACCGACCAGACCATTTTTCAAGTCATCATAGAAGCAGAGGATCCCTGGTACCAGATCATTTTTCAAGTCATCATAGAAGCAGAGGATTCCTGGTTTGTGGCCACCAACTGCCAATGGCTCTCCCAGAAAGGAAGTGCTGGGTGCCAAGAGCTTCCCTCTATTAACCTATTTTCCTCATCTGCAGGGAACTTGCTGTTCTCGTCATGTTTATCCAGCTGATCTTTTCAGGAAATGCCAGCTCCTCTCTGGTTTGCAGGCTAAGAGGATCACGAACAGAAAAAAGTGAATTTTTATTTTTATTTCTATTATACTTTATAATCTAACAATCAATCCCTCAATATCAATATCACATTTCTTTAACCTTTTTTTCTGTTCTTTTTCTTTTCTGATATGAACTAATATACTTTTTTTATATATATATTAGAACTGATAGTTACTTTGTAATGGAAGAAGAATAGGGAAAAATAAGAAATGATATTAATAAATGTTTATTGAATATGTTAAGGAAAAAGGTAGTGGGGAGACTCCCGAAGTGTTAACTATGTACTTAGATTAGAAATATGGAATATAGTAATTGAAATAAGTAAACTTCATAGAAGAACTGGATTTGTGGATCTATTTAGATGAAAGGTTATTGAGGATTGATAGGATTGATCTAGTTGTATTGAAATATATCAATTTGAATATAATATGTTATTAGAGGGAAAATAGAGGGTTTTTTTAAATGATTTAATCTGAATGTTATGAGTATGACTTTGTTGTGTGGATAATTGATTGCCCTGCCACCACATTGTTTCGTAAGCACTTGTCTGTAAAATGAAAAAAAACAATAAAACTTGTTTTTGAAAAAAAGAGGATCACAAACAGAGGGATCGCTGAAGATTTTAACAGCAAAGTGGACACAGATTATTTTATGCTCTCTGCTAATCTCCAAGCAACTATATTCTACCTACCAAAGAATTATGAAAAATCTGCTTTTCCCCCCGAAAACAAACCTCACAAGCCAACAGTCTTGAGTTTTACGCCATAGCTTTTTTGAGATATATGGATGGTTTGCGATAGTGGTGAATACTATAGTCCAGGTGTAGGATGAGGGCGGAGGTTCATTCTCCGAGCTTGTGGGTTGGTTTCCAAAATGTTTCATTACCAGGCTAGATAAGATCTTCAGCGGAATTTAGGGAATGTCAGTGCTGGCGTTTTGCTTATACGACTCATCACAAGAGCCTCACCTGACGTGGCCCACACCTGACCCATCACAAGAGCCTCACCTGATGTGACCCTCCCTTCACAAGACCTACTGACCACACAAGAGTCCTTAGAAGCAGAAAAACACCGTCACCGACATTCCCTAAATTCCGCTGAAGATGTTATCTAGCCTGGTAATGAATGTTCAGAAACCAACCCACAAACTCGGAGAACAAATCTCCACCCTCATACATGTATGGATTGGCAGGATAGGATTAGAACAAACCAAGTAGTGATGGCAGTTTTGGAACGTCTCAAGAACTTCTGATTGCTGCAGAAAATCCAGTAGGTCACAATGGAAAACAAGCTTGCAAAATGCCAGGGAGGGACCCAGAGAAGAGTCATAGCTCTGGCTGAATGAAGAGTTCAGGAATGCCAGAACATGCTCCACACACACTTACAACTTCAGGTCTCCTGAATTAGGCCTTCAAACATGCCGTTCTTGTGGCCTCGCTGGCAAGGGAGCAAGAACAGAAGAGTTTGAAGCATCTGGGATGAGGGGGGGCAATTCGACAAGCTTGTGCGTGAGCCACAGCAGGGTTCCTATCTGAATCAGCAGAGAAACCAAGGACGCAAAGCAATTGCAGAGATCCAGTTCAAATGCCAGCAGGGTTTCTCCTGGACACGAGATGAAACGAAGACTAAAGCACGGCCGTTTCCAAATTCAGGTGGTTCAACAATCCATGACATCCAAGTGAGGTGGTCTTTCCCAGACTTGCTACTTGATATTGTCTAATAGGCAGCAAATCTTCTGCCGGGGCTTCTGAGGACTTAACAAGTTTTTCTAGCACTAACCAACATGTCACCACCCCACAAAATGATGGTAAGGTCTGGGCCAGATAGGTCACCAACAGATTAAGGAACAGAATTGGAATACCGGGGGTGATGTTTGCCGACTGAGCTTCCCAGAGTAAAGAAAATTGCTTTGCTGAACACCAGAGTGCTAATCAAATTGCTCTCTCATTGGCTGCAGATGAAATGAAATAGGTTTCCCCCTTAACATGTTAAGAGCAGGCTGGCTGCCTGATCAAAGGCTTAATTTGGTATCCGAACGGATGAAGAGTTAAACCGGAGGCAGGATTATCACAAAATTGGAAGAACTATTACAAAAGTGCATAAAACACATTTTGAAAACAAGCTGTGTGCAAATCTAGAAGGACAAGTGATAAAATGTTCTGCTGGGAGAACAGGAAGAGCCAGAACTGGGGAGGTGGAGGATGAGGGTGCATATTTGCTGCTATGTCAGGTTTAGGAACAAACAGATGGCTTGATCAACAATTTGGTTCGTGTTTGTTTTTTAAAAAAAACCCTACAAAACAAGTTACTGGGGGGGGGGCAGGCAGACCCGTTCTTCCAAGGACCAGAACAACTGCATTCATAAAAGGACACCCATAATCCTTCGTCACACCTCTGCCATAAGGGAAGGTTATGATACAACGGTACAAATGATAAATGACAGCTGTACAGAAAATAGAAGTTCAACAGCATGTATGCAAAGTAGCCTCTTCCCAACGCTTTAGAAAGTAGCTCCAAACGTTTAAGAGGTGTTTTCCTACAGCGTCTGCCACAGAAACCAAGACAAGCTAGATATTCCTCCACAGCTTAAGCCACACTCAATACAAAATGTGCATTAGAAGATACTTGGAGACAAAATAGGATGGGTGTGATCGCTTTCTTTGAACTAGGGATCTTTTTTCTCTAATCGGATTCATAGCTTTTATCTTTTTTAGTCCCTTCCTTTTCTCTTACTCACGTGCGCATGGCCAGCTCTCTCCTGTCTCTAATCCTGAAGGGTTTGCCCACATTATGCTGGCCATCTTTTCTCTTTCTGGGAAACTCAAGAGCAAGACGACAGACTGGCGGAATAAAAATTGAGCAAATAAAGGGGAAAAAATGATTAATTTAACCAGAAAGCCTCTTTAGAAGCATTCTGAAGTCTAGGTCACTTCAAGGAAGGTGGGATAGGAAGAGAAGGGACAGTTAATGATGTTGTTAGACTACGTTAAGTGGAAGGAAAGCAATGCCAGGAAGATGACATGTTTAGCTTAAGCTCTTTTAAAACCTTTGGCTCCTTAAGGCTACTGTCTGCAGTCCCGTTGACTGCAGACAAAACACTTAATTAGCGTACTGTACCTGGGTTAGCTCCATAGCACAAGCTATTTTTTCCACCTGGACAAAATAAATCAGGAAGCCCTTTTTGAAGCAGGAATTCTGCAGGGACTGCAAAGACTATGCTGGCCACGCGGTGCAAGGGCAGACGCTGAAAGGGGGCCTGGGGGTGTTCATGGCTACCCAGAGTGAAATGACCTGTTGTGAGGATTCAAACACAACAACTTTGCAGCAAGGTAAAGGAAACAAAATGAGAAATGGAGGCAGCAGGCCATCGGAAAGCAGTTGCTTGTCTACCGCCCAATGTCTGTCTGTCTGTCATATGTTGGTATCAGGTGCCTTCCCTCAAGGTCACCAGCAAAAGGTCCCTCTTGCCACTCTCAAGCCACACAGCTTTTCAGGAAGTTTTCCTTGACACACATACGCATAGTCAGCTGGCCCCAAAAGAGGCTTCCTGGCATGGATGTTTCTTCTAAATTATTAAAAGCCACCCAGCAGCTGTCCTACTGCACACAGCGAGGGTCCAGCATCAAGGGACCTCGTCTCGCTGTTGCGAACATCTGTGTGTAAGCATGCAGACATGTTCATGCGTGCTTCCTTGCAGTTACCATTTGAAAAGAAAGTAAAGAATTTTCAAGCAGTTATTAAACCCGAGTATGGCTTAGTGGGGGGGGAAAAAAAGGAGCCCAAAGCATCAAAAGTTTTACTTTTCAGAGAAGATTGTAAACAGAGCCACGTAACACCATGAAGTGCATTCTTTAGTTAGAAGAGTTTAGTTAATTAAAAGTAACATTCATACAGTAATGTTTTGTTTTATTTTTAAGTTGCTGAAAGTATTACAAGAGAGAAGTCATTTATTTTCCATGATCTTCAACCTCTCAAAAGCTTCCAGGAGGTTTTGTTTTGTTTTTTTACACAAAGTGGAGAGATGTATTCATAAAACTGGGAATCTGAAAGGCAACTGTAGTGTTTTCCTTTTTAAATGTCACCTTAGCCATATTCCTCTCAAAATTTATGTTACAGGAGCTTTTCCAATTTTTTTCAATACAAATGTCTTTGTTCAAAAGCAGGTTTGTCGATACTCCCTTTAAAATTCTCTTTATGAAAACCAAGAGCTAAAATATTTATATATAAATAAGAAACATTAAATCAAAAAAAGAAAAGAATTGGAAAAGAAAGACAGTATCTTAATTTTTCCACTAAACCTGATAAGTCTATCAAAACTATTGACTGTTAAATAAGAACATTATAAAAATTAGCAAGAGTGAAAACAGAACGCTGACCTGACGAACTCAAATCCAAAACGGCCCTATCCTTAAAAGTGCAAAAGTAGACAAGGATTACTGCATAATAACAAAAGGTCACCCCAAATCAGTTCCCGAGTCGCCCTATTACCTCTGTATCCCCCACCATATGCTTTTTTAAACCTTGCATTGCAAGTCAAAGTAAAAGAGCAATTAATTTCCAAATGAAGTCACCATCAGAAAGCAGAGCCAAAAACGGTCCTGAACACAAGTGCAGCATGCCAGCCATTCAGACGGAGGTTGTGGACAGTCCGTAGAAGTGTAGAAATTCAACACTGCGTACAAAACGGCACACTTGCGGGGTTTCACAAAAACTTGCAGGACTTCACAGAGCTTGCTTCGGGTCTCCTCCTCTGGATAAGTTCGCCCAACCACCCCCCCACCTGATTCTCAGGGGGGGGGGAAGGGAGGCAGAGTTTTGCTCGACAACATTTTAGTGTGTGAGGATATACAGAAAACAAAGGCCTGGGCTGGCCAGATACTTCTTTTGTCAAGACTGATATAAGGACTATGGGTGAACCAACAGTCTAGAAGAGAATATGGTTTATGTGCAAACCATGTTCACTAGCACTCTTGAGTCTCAAATGTGTTTTTACAAGCATGGGATCTGGCTGGCTCAGGCTGTGGCACTTCAGAGTGCGGCGTATGGTCTACAAAACAACACAGGGAGCTATTTAAGATGGCAAAGTCTTCCTATTATGTTGAAATGATTAACAAAAAAGGAGGAAGGGGAGGGAGCAGAAACTGACTTTGGTGACACACGCCAAGGCGTTTCTGCCAGGCTGCCAAGAACCCAAACAAAAAGTACCCTCTGCAGCATGTGGGCGGGTCTCGGGGAACGGCCAAGGGCACCGGAGCTCCCGCAGAAAGCTCCGGCAGCCAGACAGCCTAGCCGCCCCCGTCTCCGGCGCTTGCGGTTCACCTCCAATGTCCTGCCCGCCTTTCCCAGGGAGGCTTCACGCTCCAGGCCTCCTCTAGAGGAGGAAAGGGTTAGTCGCGTTGGCCGGCTGAGAGATCGAGGGGGGAATTCCCGGGTGGTGGACAGGCTGAGCCACTGAGCCCATTGTGCCCACGCTTACTCCCGGGCCCATCCTGGTTAGAGAGGTCACGGGGCCCACGGCTGGCAAGGGGGGCAGAGCCACAGAAGGAAGGGGCCCCGGTTCCAGCCCCGGCGCAGCGTTGAAGGACAGGCTACCCCCGAGGATGGGGCTGGCCCGCATCTGATTGAGAGTGAGGGGCTGCGGCTGATTCACTTGGAAGGGGTTGACTGCGGCCGGAGAAGGAGAAGCCGACGACGACGATCCTGGAAGCAGAGAAGAGGGAAGAGTCAGTCCAATCTCCCCGGTTTCCAGGCCGACAGCAAACAGTTACACAAGCACAAGGTTGCAACAAAGGCACCCTTTTCCAGACACCTTCAATGCAAGGCAAAGAGGCAGGGGCCCTGCCGGTGCGTCATGCAATGCCCACTGCCCAGGAATGGGAGCAGTGGGGTCTGCAGAAGGCAGCCGGGTAGGGGCCAGGGGGGGGTCTGCAGAAAAGGCAACCAGAGCAACAAATCACAACCAAAGTTGTGCCTGAGCAATTCTGCCAAGCACCGCAGAATTTGGATTCCGCTGCTGGGGGCTAGCCAGTAGCCCAGCTGAGAGACTCTGACCTAGAACCAAGGTCCTCTCCCTAAGAGCCCCAGAGTCACCCCCACCTTTCCTCCCAACGACAGCCTCCAGGCGATTCTCCCCAAAGCTCCACTCAGAGTGGTGTTGAGAAACATCAGCAACTTCTTAAAGCAGGGCTGGCTGGGGAATTCTGGGAGCTGAAGCCACTCGTCTTAATGATGCTTAGAAGGACTGCCTAAACCATGCTCCAGCTGCCTCTCCAAGAACTCACCTGGCGCTTCTGGATCCTGTTCCCTGCCAGGCCATTTCCCTAAAACACAGCTGGGATCAGCAGCTACCAGTAGGCTGGTGAAATCAGCTGCTGCCCTCACTCAAATAACACAGTGCAGACCGTCGGCCTTAAAGTGAGCGGACTCATTAATGGAGCCCCGATGTGCCCGTTCTCCACTCTCAAAGAAACCACAAGTGCAAACTCGGGGCGAAGACGTACCCGGAGCCAAGAACGGATTAAGGGATGGTGCTGGCTGGGGGGGCTTAGATACCAGGGAGTCCAGATTCACCAAAGCAGCATTGGGGCCCAAGAAAGACTCGGGGGTCCTCCGAGCGCCGCCCTGTTGACTGGAGGAGGAGGAGCCGGCTGGCAGGGAGTCCGAGAGGGCGGGGCTGGTGGTCCCACTGTTCTGAGCTGACAAAGCAGAACCTGAATCCGGGAAAGAGAAAAAACGGCTCCTGAAAAAGATGGATCTCAAAAGGACGCGATCCCTATTATGCCCGCTTTCCTCAAACATTAGACGATTGCTTTACTCTTCCCCCTTTTTTTGTTGCTCCTTCCAAGGGATGTGAAATCCCAGCCTGCCTCAAACACCAAGCACTGGCACGGATCATGCTGATCTTTTATAAACAATTTCGTTTACCTAGGCCTCAATGTCCACAGGAGTCATGTTCTCCCTTGTGATTTTTTTTTTCTTTTAATTTGGGGAAGGCTATCAAGATCGTTCAGCAGCGGTTTCCTATCAGGCGTTCAAGCCCCTTTTCAGCCCCCAAACTCAGGTGTCCGTTTCAAAGATACCTTGCTTGTTAGAAGTTCGAAGGGTGTCAAATTCAGAAAAGTCGTCTTTAATTGTCCCATTCAAATTGCTGAAGAGGTCGAAAGATTTACTACCTGCAGTGGAAAACAAGAGTGTCCTCGTTTTAGTTGCACCCCAGCCAGGACTCTTCTCCATAATCCTAGAAAAATATGGTCTCCTCTAATGCCTTGCAATCAGGGTGCCCCCCCCCCTCCCTCTCTTTCTTTGTGGAGGAGAAGATAACCAGTTTCACCCAGCTGCAAAACTCCACCCCAGAATCTGGGCCACCCTGATTGGAGAGGCTGGGATCTGGGCCTTCCCGTTTGGCTGATGCAGGGAATAAAACAAAAGCTTTAGAGTATCCACAACTTCTCCTTTGCTCAGGAGAGACAACTATCATCTTTCGCTTTTAAAAAAAGCATTCCCATCACTTGAGCCGGGCTGTGATATTTCTAAACATTGCAGCCGTATGGCGATAATTCTACCTCGTGTCCAGCCACTAAGCACCTACAGGCCAGAGAAGATGTTTTAGACCTCGCCGCCAATAAAACAGGCTCCTCCAGGAGACACGGAAAGCAGGCATCCTACTTACTAGAAGCAGAAATTGGCTTGTTTACTGGTGCTGGTCCCCAGGGGTCCACGGCTGTCTTTGTTGCCACGGAGGAGGGCTGGGAAGGAGCCCAAGGATCAGCATTCTTTGGGAGAGGCTGGGCAGCTGAGGATGCTGCAGGGGCTCCCCACGGATCAACAGAGGTGGCTGGTTTGGCACCTGCAGGCAAAGGATGTACAAGATTTACAGCCAGGTTACAGCTAAATCCGACATTCAACCTGTTACCAACGATCAGTTCTGAGGGATTTATTTATGTAATCCTAAACCTAACTCAGAAATTCACCAACAGAACTAGATGCGAAGAGCATCTACACACAACATTTAGAATCCTAAGCCAAAATCTGTGGAGCATTTTTCACAAAGAAATCCTAAATCCAGATGTGCGATTTCAAACAGGGAAAAGGAACCTTTTTGCTTCTGCTGAAGTTAAACAACGAGACGTTAAGAACCGTCTTGATCTTCTCAAACACTGAAGACCCACTTGTCCGGATCGACCTGCTGCCCATCCAAGTATTCCATATTGGTTCATCATAAACTGGATTCTAACAGGATTTCTTAATTATTATTTTTAAAAGTTAAAGATTATTTCTTGATCGGCATCAACATGATTATGCCACAAAATTAAAATAGCAAGTTGCTATTCCTCCCCTTTTCTTAGTGCATTGATTTAATCAAGGAGAGCCCAAATTTTCCATTGGTTGGTTGTGTTTTGGCGTATCTGTTTAAAGGAACCCTGCTGGAAACACACACACTGTAAAAACATTGATCCACATTTACAAACCAGTGCAGGTTCCCAGTCATTATGTCCAGAAGACAGGAAACACCGCAGAGCTTTCCAGAGAAAGCAGCTAATCTCTTCCCGTGGCCTCCATTTCCGGCAAATTTATCGACAATGCCATGGAAGAAATGCTAATCGCTCGGGGCTGCCGTAAATGGAAACCTCCCAAACAAGTTGCTCTTTCATGAATTGGAGGACAAAAGCGGGCGGGCGCAGAAACGGCAGGGCTGGAGGACAAGACCCCCTTCTGAGGAGGCTCTTATTGAATCTCACTGAAATCCCCGTCCAGCTAAGTGAGACTTAAAGGCCTCTGTTCCGCTTTGAGTCAGCCTTTTCAGCGGCATTCAGATACATAAATCTGGTTTCTTCAGCACCATCCTAGGGAGCCAAGGAGCTGGCGAGCTCAAACAAGGGGCTGTTATCAATGAATCAAATCCGTCAATGTTGGAAGCCCCCCAGTTGTTGCAGCTGCAGCTTGGGGAGCAGCCTCTTTCCTTGAACCTTAGTGCGGGGGATTGATGGCACCTTCCTAGGTTTAAGAATGAAATGTTCCCAAAACCCCTTACATTCCCCAAACCCAGGGCCTCCGTTTGGGGATGTTTCCTTTATCTCCGGCAGCAAAAGACAAAAGGGTCTGAGGACGGAGCAGTTCAAAGCAAATGCTGAGCCAGAGCTCCTGTTAAGCTTGTTCTACTGGATGCACATAAAGATTGCCACAAAAACCAAGAACAATCCTAACAGGTGACAGAAAGGGAACGAAAGAGACCGAAGGATTTCTGTGTGCCTTTGCAGCACTTGAATAGGCAACCATTTCTGCATCCTAAGATAAGGAATAGTAAAGCCCACCTTGCAGGTACAGCAGATGGACAAGCAAAGTCAAGGACTTGAGCAAGAAGTGGTTAATAGCCAAAGCAAAGCTGGACAACATCCAGCTTTGGAGTTAACAGAAGAAATCTCCCAATCTGGGCATCTGAAAGGGGAATTCGAGACCTGAACATTTGTTGGGATAAATCCCCTCGTCTGGCAAGCCTCTCTGGCAGGTATTCTCCAAGTATCCCAAAAGTGTTTTTTTCACAACAGAACTGGACTTTGTTTTTCCTTGAAGACGTTTCACTTCTCATCCAAGAAGCTTCTTCAGTTCAAACGAAAGGTCTTCAAGGAAAAACAAAGTCTAGTTGCCTTTTGAAAAAGCACCTTTGGGACAACCTTGACCTGGATGACTGAGAACCTCCACAGATATCCTCCAAGTATCTCATCACAGAAACAGCCTCAGGAGAAGCATAAAGGAAAAAAAGGCACCTCAAAGGTTTAACTGGGGAGTCTGGAAAAAAGGGAGGCAGAACCCGATTCCAGAAAATTTGGATCCACTTAATCTTTTCAAAAGCCTCCTGGCAAGATTCTAACCCTCCCACCGCCTAGTTCCACCAGAAGCAACCCAGTTATAAAGGCAGCCCCAGACAAGATCCGTAACCAACGGCCTGGCTTAGTCACCTCAACTGCTCCTCGTTGGCCTAGGAGACACGCAAACCTTCTGCAAAATAAACTAAAAAAATAAACGAGGGCTAACAACCAATAGGACTGTCCACTAGTCCTCAGCTATACTGGTTTGAAGACCCCTGTTCTAGAGGATTAGTTGGGTATGGTAGTGGTGGTGATGGAGGAGGAGGAGGAGGAGGAGGAGGAGGAGGAGGAGGAGGAGGAGGAGGAGGAGGAGGAGGAAAAAAGGTGCCAAACTACAAGGGAAGCCAGGCTTTCAGGATTTGCACAGTCCATCCCACTCCTAGGGCTCTGTGGGAGTGGGCAGCAAAAGACCCCTTTCCCCCACTCTTACCGAACGATTGCCATGGATCAGAGGTGGCAGTGCTGACTGGAGGACCCCCCCAAGGGTCAGTTTTGTTGACTGCAGCTGGGGGCTTCCAAGGCTCCCCTTTTGGGGCGGAGGTGGCAGAAGAGGGCAGCGCATCCATGAGGTCCAGCAAAGCTGTGTGCTGCTGATAAAGGTTATTTTTAGCTGTGTACAAACATTTTACAGGATCCACAAATCATCTTTTTCAAAAAGAAAGAGAGGAGCATAAGGAACAAAAAAAAATTGCACCATTTCACTCTTTCACATGCCCTCAGCTGATCACTTGGGCTTTTTATCCCAGTACGGAAGAGATTTTTTATAATAAAACACTGTGTCTTCCATGAATGCATAAATACTCGTATCAAATAGAGTTGCAATGCCGGCTACGTTTGTGTCCCACCTTCCCAGTGAGGTCTGAGAATTCTTTCAAAAGAAACCGCCTACCTCCTTCTTTTTGGGAATTTTGACAGTATCTCTGCGACTTTCTTCCAAGGCCATCTGCAACCTCAAATCGTCTCCTCGGCGCAGGCGCTCTTCCTGCAGAAAGGAGGAGTGGGAGGTTTAAAACAGGCTCCCACCACGGCTCAAGGAAAGCCACAAGTTGTGCTCAGGGCTCGTCTGTGAAGTGCTTGGATGACACTTTTTCCATGTGGTTTTCTGAATTTCCTAGTCTAGATTACAGCCAATACTTCCAGCCAGACTGCAAAACAGGTAACAGCTTTATTCCCTAGTCATCTAGTAACTGGCTTCACAAGTCTTAAAGTGGCCAAGTTTGGAGACCCCTGATCTAATACTGAAGAGGCTAAAACGCCCATTTTCACTCCTGCTTCACTGTGTCTGCTAAGGCACGGGTGCCTCAAAGATTCAGAATTTTCCATACACATCAATTTAAGGTTTTAGAAGCCAAACAGAAAAACTGGCACCGTTAAGGCTTGATCCTAGACCTGCAAAATTTTTTGCTTTAGGCTTTGACTGATAGCTCCAGAGGGTGATTCACATCCATTCACAAAAAGGCTGCAGCTTTCCTTTGATGATCATGCTTAACTCGTAACAACTGTCATACACTTCCACGGATCACCAGCTCCTTGCTTGTCCGTGACAGACAAGCCGGGAGCCAGGTTTTCATGAGTGATTTTCAGTTAACGGGGAAATTGGGGTGGTGATGACACGGCCCCTGCAGGTTGCAGAACTTTCCCCCTGCTATTCCAACCTACCAAACCTAGAAGGGGAGGGGGCTGAGAGCTGTAGTTCAGCTGCACCTGAAGAGTTGCAGGTGCCTACCTGTGCTCTTCCCAGCTCTTTTCCTCATTTCACCTTCCTAGCGTGGACGGCAGGTCAACCCAACGTGCATCAGGGGATGCTGCTGCTCTGCCAGAAACCAACCTGTTCTGCCACTTCTCTGCTCATGGCCAAAGCCAGCTGCAGCTGGAGTTCCTCTTCCCCGCTGGTCTGAGGTCGGGCCTGCTCCAGTTCTGAAGACACTCTTGGTGATGTAGCTGCAGGGAAAAAGAGGCACAAGCTTGACTCTCTCTGAGCAGCTCAGCTGCTGAAAGCCCCTCTTCTCCACCTCAGCCATCCTCCACAGTGTGTCAGCTACACTTCCGCAACTTAGGCCAAGGTGGTGATGTTCCTTACCCATCTTTGAACTGCAAAGTCCCCAGGCAGATCAAACCAATAATTAGCAATAGCAATAGCACTTAGACTTATATACCGCTTCACAATGCTTTACAGCCCTCTCTAAGTGGTTTACAGAGTCAGCCTGTGGCCCCCAACAATCTGGGTCCTCGTTTTACCGGCCTCAGAAGGACAGAAGGCTCAGCCAACCCTGAGCCAGTGAGACTTGAACTGCCAAACTACTGGCAATCGGCAGCCAGCAGAATTACTTTAGTAGAAACAGAGAACCCAGAACTGTAAACTGCCAAAGAGCCAGCTGAAGACTGATAAAACCAAAACTAAACGTGAGATTTACAGCCGTAGATATTTGGGGGTGGGAGGGGAAGAAGGGATTCTAAAGGTGGCTGTCCTTGCTTGTCCTCTAATCACAGATGCACTGATTGAGGTTTCCCATTTAACATGCTGCGCATAAAGACTGATCTGGAAGCCAGGTGGGTGCCAAGGGCGTCTGATTAGGTCGGAATCCCAAGGCCAGGCTCTTTAAGATTGAGGCTGGCTATCTTGAATGCAAACTCCGAATTGGCATCGCTTTAAACGCAGAACTGCTGTCCCTCTAATGCAGCAGACGATCGGGGGGAAAAGAAGGTCGAGGATGCAGACATGAAGTCCCATCATACGGTACTAGCAAGCAGTGCACAGGGGCAGACTAACAGCATTGCGGTTCTTAAGGCTGGGAATGGTTTGCTATGCTGACGTGCACCCCACCCTATGCCATTATCCCATAGAAAAGTGCCCACTTAATGCACAGAAATTCCCAAGGTCCAATCCCACACATCATCTGTAAGAGAAGAATGGCAAACTAGATAGTCATACCTGAGGTCTCTACAGATATTGCCAAAAAGCTGTGATTTCCCTGGTATTTTGCTTCCTCTCCTAATAAGTACAGTAACAGTAAATTTCCCAGGCCTGTTTCGGTCCATGAAGCATTCATCTGGGTGCAACGTCAAACAAAGTGAAACGCAATCCTTCCCTGGATCCAGACCAGGAATGCTTGATAATGGTGATCCCATGCACACGGAGGAGAGACAGAGAGCAAAGCCCTCAGAATTCAGCATGGCTGGCTTGAGTAAATCTAGTTAGGACAGCTTACCGCCCTGTTTCCACATTCAGCTAACTGAAAATTGTTTTTAAGGAATTGCTTAAAATTTCTCAGAGATTTAAAATCATAGCAGCATTTCAGATTAAGACGGGCTGACTACCCCCACGAAGCTTCCGTTAATTTTTATAAAACTGTGCCGGTAAATTGAACTGACCTATTTCCACCTTCCACTCCACATTTAAATCCCTCAGAGAAATCAATAATGTCATTAGGAGGCCAGTAATGACAGCTCATCAGCACCCCAGCCAACCCTGCAATTTCTTAAATTTCCAAAGCATCCCAGCATTGTCGTGAAAGCCTCATCTCCCAACGATCCAGCCTAAACGGTTTCCTTGTAACCCATGAAGAGATCCTTTGTTATCCTGCTACAAAGCGCCTGATCATTGACTCAGATGTTTGCACAAGATGGCACTGAGTAGATCCAATTTTGATACCCCGAGACCTGCTTTGTTGCCACTTCCACAAACCCTTGGATTTCCAAACTATGAGGAAGTCAAAAACTGAGGTCTGCTCTTTCACAAAATTCTTACAGAAACGGCTGAACTCTGAGCAGCCATTCAGGCCAGCTTCCCCGAAACCAGAAACACTTCCCGGATGATATTTCCGCTGTCTGAGACTTCTAGGGAATCCCAGTGCTTCCCATTACATGTGTCTGATAAATGCTCCCTATAGGGGAAAAATGGGAACCACACTTCTCACAGATTCACAGAAATTATTTTAGAAAATTATTATTACTAGTCTAAGAGTCTAGTAGCACCTGTACACTAATCAACTCTCTGTTATCACAGAACCTTTTCCCTGTAACAGTTCAATGAGGCATTTCTCCATCTTTAAAAATGCAACAAAATTCTCTACAAGGGAATAAAACTCAAAATTATAACTAAGTGGGATGGGACCCCTGCAGGAAGGCAAGGATGAAAGAACTACTTCCAATTCAATTTTAGGGCGGTTATCCTGTCCTGGAGAACATATTTAAAGTGAAAGCACCAGCCAAATAAGGGCCACACACCAGGTAGCTGGTTCAAAGACCCGCATTTCTTTTTTTTAACCCACCCGCAAATCAGAAGAGAGCGTGGAAGCACACCAAAGCCCATAATGTGCACTTACACCCATGGTAGGAAGCTGGAGAGCCTCCAGATTTGCCGTACTCTTGCTCAGAGTAGCTGGTGGACAGATTAGGCTGGCTGGACCCTCGGCCAAAGGAGATCTGGTTGCTGCCCACTCCGATGGCCACTTGAGCCATGCGCTCTTTGGTCTTTAGGGCCTGGGCCCTCTCTGCCTTGAGCCGCTCATCGTCCTTCAGCAGGGAGACCAACTGCTTGGACTTCTCACGCACGTTGATGCCCTGGTCCTTCCCATCCCGGTCAATGTACTGAAAATCTTTCAAAGTCTGGATGGCAAAGATGTTCTCTTTGCACTGCTGGGCCACCCGCTCTGACCCAGTTTTGATCAGGTAATCCAGCAGGGTTAAAGCCTTGTAAACGTGCCTCCAATTCTTGCCATGGTCGTTCAGCCGCTTCCAGATCATGCTCATGATTTCAGAGAAGGCTACCACGTTGTAAGTCAGGTCTGCAATTTCGGTCATTAAGGAGCTGGAGGGACCCCAGGGATCATTGGAAGTTGCTTCCCGGACTTTAATTTCGGCCTCTGAATAATTGTTCACAATGTTTTTCATCTGCCGCCTAATCGACGAAGTTGTCATTTTTATCTCCTGCTCCCGTCAAGGCAGATTCCTCCCGAAAGTCCTTAGGGATTGGCCGCCGCGGCGCTTTCCCCTCTGCAAGTCCCTCGGACAGGAAGACAGAGCAAGGGCACCACCCGACTTGGAGCAATTTCTGATAAAGTCATTTCTTCTCCTCATCAAAGGTGCAAAAGAAACTGGGAAGCTTGACCTAAAAAGGAGGGAAAATCCCATTAGTAACCATGGCAATGGCTTTCTTGCATTTTGAAAAAGAGTCAAATCCAACTTCAGCATCCCATCTGTCCGTGGGCTGACATGACAGGAGGAACCATCCCCAGGACCTGAGCTTGCCTCAGCGGCACCTGGGTAACTAAACCACTGCAGACACAACAGCTAAGACTGGTGGTGAAAAAGAATCCAGACCCCATTTATAGCAATATCTTCCTTCCAGCCACAGGCAAACAGGAGTGTTTCAAGAGGCCTTCGTCAGGCATCCAGACCCAGATAAAACATTGTAAAAGGCTCGGATTGCCAGATAAAGGACCAGAAGGAGGACTGAGCTACGGCTACAGACCAGATGGCACCACCGCCTTGAAGCAACTCCTGTTGAAATCATTTCCCCTCCTCCTCCCTGCAGGGCCATTTGTTGCTCTGCACATCACACTTGGGCTAGTTCCCCAAATCACAGACCCCGCAGCACGCCCCACAGGAAGGTAATCTTCAGCCTGAGAACCCTGAGACCCAGAGGGGGATACCAGCTGCTGGCCCAGGGGCTGGGGCAAGAGGCTTCCTATCCTCCACTGATCCCCTTCTATCAAGACTGCAAAACATCTGTCATGTCACTATCTGACAGGCAGAAAGGTAAAATAGATCATCTGGTAAATATTGGCAAATTACTTTCATTAAAAGCAAAGCATTACATTAGTAGGGAATTAACCTTCTTTAAAGAGGCCCTGTGGATTATTAGCTTACTGATGAATCGCCCACAAAACGTGTAAACTCAGCAGAAACGGGGTCTCTACAGGGCCGTGAAGTTGCAACTGCTGCACGAATCAGAATTAAACTTTATGCAGCAGCTGCTTGGGGAAAATATCAGAATGCAAGTCGACTTGTTAGAGAGAGAGAGAGAGGGAGAGACAACCGCTCTGGCAGTTGCAGCAAACTGTCAGTTTATTGTCAAAGAGCACTCATTTCTCTTGGGATCTTGTGATTCCTGCAACTGAAGCCATATCTGCAATTAGGCCTCCTGATAAGTCTGATGCAGCCACTGTGTCACACCTCAAAAACACTTGCCTTTTCTGGCCTTCTCAACAACATAGTGTGTGACTCAGAGGGAAGGCAGGACTATGAACAGTGGAGAAGGGAAAAAAACGCATATGCAGATTGGAAGCTAAATTCTTCCCAAAACCACATTAGGCAAACGGTCGCTTTGCCCTAGGGAGCTTCCAGACTGTTTTTAGTCCTGTCCTTGGCCAAAAACTTGGCAAAGCATTTTAGAATCTGAGAAGCAGTTTTAGATGATCACAATCGTTGTGATCCATCCTGGCCAGAGCCCCCTTTTCTAACATAATCTGGACTCGGTCATTAAAGGAACAACTAATGCTTTCAGGTCGTTTTCTTCACCGAAGTAAGTGATCTACCACGGACTTCAGAAATTATCACTCTAACGTGATTTCCAAATCCCAAGTGGGTCTTATCATGCATAACTTTCCAAACTCACGATACAGCTAGGGCTCCCCAGTTTTAGAGGCATGGCCTTTCTTTTAATTAAGTACGGTGCCATACTCATAGATGTATATACAGAGAAGCCATGTACAGAGAAGTAATAAATGTTTATAATTATAGACAACAACTAGATTATTACAGCATATTCTATGGTGCAATAAAATCAGCATACAAAACTCCAAAACGAAGAGCAGGAAACATGAATAATTAGCACCAGGCATAGTGTTTTATCATAACTTCAGTCCTGAGGGTTAACTTAAGTTACCCCAGGGGTATCCAAACTTGATAACTTTAAGACCTGCGGACTTCAACTTCAATGGCTGGCTAGGGAATTCTGGGAGTTGAAGTCCACAAATTTTAAAACAGTCAAGGTTGGACACCCCTGAGTTACTTACTCCCTGGTTAGAGCACAGGGCAAAAGGAGATTCGTATCTTAATACTCTGTGGAGTATTAAGGAAAGTGCATCACACCTTCCAATTTGTTGAAATTGCAGGAAAGTTCTCAGTTTGCAGGATAATGAAACGCATTTAACAAGCCACAGATTTTTTTAAAAAGTTAATTGAAAGCAAGAAGAAGTACCTGCATTCTTCTACTGAAAACTTAAACCATGCCAAGCATGTTTCTTGTTCCAGGTCTAATACCACTTTAGGAAGGAAAAAGAAAGCAAGCACCAGATGGCCCATGCCCCATCTGTTCACTTGGAATTAAACCCCACCAGATTTCAAAGAGAAGCCCGGCGACCCCCTGCAGCTTTGGAATCCAACTATTTCCGGTGGTACAAAAGGAGCAAGAGAGACCCCCAATATCTCGGGGAGATACAGGAAGGAAGCCTCAACTCTCCTGACCCCTGCTCTTCAACTCTAAATGGCCTCTTTTCCTGACATTTCAGGGGGATGAACAAAGAACTGGGCTTTCATTACACCCATTGCTCAAATCTTTCACGAGAGACTGGGTTAAAAGTAACAAATCATCAGACACTAATACAATAAAGAAGCTGTGCATTTAAAAGGGGGGGAGTGTCAAAAGATTTGTTTCCAGAGCTAAACAGGAAAATGAATTCTGTATTTCATTCTATCACAGTTAACAGACAGTTAACAGATGCAATAAAACTGGACATTAGGCATAAAAGTCCATATACAGAACACACATCGGATCTTTTCTGCCATAGTAAAAAAAGGAAAAACATAGCAACAGAACAGCAAGGAGTCCTGGAAGAGATCACAGGAATTTTCTTGCATTCCAACAGTCTAAACATAAAGTTCTGCAGAAAAAAAGAACCAAGCTGAGATTTAGCAAGTAAAATGTATTTCAGAAAGGAAGAAGGGAACCAAGTGTCATTTTTCTAAAACACACAAACTAGTTGACAACTGACCTTGAACATACCCTAAGTTTCCATCTCAGGACTTCTAGAATGAAAGCTTGAGCAGAGAATTGTTGAATCTGATCCTAAGGCCGAGACTGACTCTGCAACTTTACAGTCAGTTTACCAAAGGGAAAGAGATGCTTTCAGAAGAACTTTTCTCTAGAAAAGCTATGGGAAAACATGGATTATTGGCCAAGTTTAGGTAGTCTGGATTCCTGATGTACCATCCGCTGCACCATCATGCCCTAAGGAGCTCAGGAGTGTCCATCCCCCGTCATCGGAGTTGCCTTACTTCAACAAGATGATTTCATCATGTGCCTTTCGACTCTGTGTACTTCAAGGCATGTTACACAATTGGGTGCTTTTGAAATAAAAGCCAGAAGAGATCCTGTTGAACCATCAGCAGAAATCATTGAGAAGGGAGGAGGAGGAGGAGGAGGAGGAGGAGAAAAACAGGAAATCTGATTCATGAGGAGCAACAAGTCAACCAAGTATTTTTGAGATTAAACACACAAACACAAACACATTGCTATTCAAGGAATGGAGAAAGCAGAGAGCTGTACATATATGTGAAGAGGCCCTCAAACAATTTCAACCCTCAAATTATGCTAATATCATCGCATTGCCCAATGCGGGCTTACTGTTAACAGTATAAGAAAAAATAAAGTGGATAAACACAAACATACTGTCTGGAGATTAGTGGAGTCGCAATTCATCATATCTAGATAGTGCAAAGTTGGGGAAAGCTGGACTACAGACACAGAGAGAGAGAGAGAGAGAGAGAGAGAGAGAGAGAGAGAGAGAGAGAGAATAAAATCAGATTTCCATGCCCAGAATTTTCTTGGGCACAGAGTAGGACCATGGCAGATCTTAAACGCTGCTATGGAAACAGAGAAGGAAACCCATTTGATACTTCTCTTGATCTTACAAGGTGTAGGGCCACTTAGCAATTCAGGCAGTGCATTCCCATCAGGTTTGAGACCAAGTGTATGATAGATGGGATGTGCCACAAGAAAAGATTTCCCAAATGCTAAATTGCAATTTACTCATTTTAAAATAAGGCTTGCAAAATACACATGTTTAAAAAATGAAAACGCCCTATTGGAAACACAAACTAAAGGATATTAACCCAGAAGGTTGTCTGAAGCAGCCACCCTAGGAGCACAAACTGCAAACAGAGCCCAATTGGAAGGGCTTTGAAGTCCAGGGGGAGAGACTCCAGGAACCTGGGACTAATCTCTACCCCATCCTCCAGGGTCAGCATAATGGAAAATAATAGCAGGTCACAAGAGATTTTACTTCCATTAGTTTAATTGCAGTGAAAAATGCAGCCCTGCCCTGGATTAAGAGGCAAGAACCCAAGCAAGCAAATGTCCTGATTCAAGATTCAAATACTGTTCGGGTTTGGATAGGGGAAAAGAGCCGGGCTCGATCCTGCCAGGACCGAGGGGCTGGTGGCTCTCTGGACAATTCTTCACCATTGGTCCTGGAACAGACAAGTGCTCAACCCAGGGGGCTCTCCTGGACTCACAGCGCGTCAGTTGTTGGAGTCTCTGCAACAAGTACTGGGACACTTACAGAATGGCTGACCATCCTGCTGAACACACTTACAAGGTGGAGGTGTTAGCACGTTCAGTTTGAGTCAAGCTGGGCTGAGCAGAAATTTGGGGGGTTGCAGGCTTCACATTGAGGCTCTAAATTAGGGATATCCAACCTTGGCAACTTTAAGACCTTTGGACTTCAACTCCCAGAATTCCCCAGCCAGCCACTCCGCAGGAGTTCAAGTCCACAAATCTTAAAGTTGCCAAGATTGGACACCCTGGCCCTAAAGGTCATTGTGAACAATCTGGACAATGCAAGCACAACATCTGTGTTACCAAACTTCCAGACAATCTCTTGCTCAATGTCCTCGCATTAGGACATATTAAACTTTCCGCCTTATTGAAATAAAACAGGAAGTGTTTGCAAATAGTGCCGAAGTATCCTTACTGAACTGCTAACTCCATTTTTGTGGAAGGTATTGTAGCTAACAGGCTAAAAAAGGGCAACTTTGTTAAGAGTTAATCTGTAACATCATTGATTCAATTAAGTCTACAGAGTGTTCAAGTATCCACAACACAAATGTTGCCAGGCAGGCAAGAAAAAATCAACAAGCAAAACCGTAAACATACACCTGGAATAGGATGTTTGACATATTTTTTTAAACTTTTATCCCCTGAAATGCAGCGTTCATGTAGCATAAAATATACTCAATGTAATTAACTAGTTAATTGCAATACTTTACCTGCTTGCAACCGAACCAAGGAGGCACAGGGAATAAGAATCAAGACGTTGTATATGAAGCCAAACAGCGAAGGTTTTGTTTGCTAGTTCTTTGCTTCATTTATGGAAGAACAGTTCATTCTTTACTTGCAGTTTCAGAGAGCTGACTATACCTCATAAATCACAATAACCCAGAGAAGGTATTATTTACTCTTTCAATCTCAAAGATTAACTCAATAGGATCAAGAGGATACCAGTCTCATGGACCCAGTGAACATCATTAAACAGCTTTTAAAACACAAGTATAACTTTAAAGATGAAAGAAATTATAACAGGAAGATCCAGACAACACTGTATGCAATTTAACTCCACTTAAATCCATTAAGTAAGCCAAGAACTACAATCAGGGGAGAAGGTGAATCTGTTCTTTGAACTTTTAAAGGAGTTAAAAAGTGTCTGTCTAAACATGAAGAACATCTTTAGAAGCGACCATTTTCCATTTCTCCTTTTCTTCATCATAAGGAATGCAACAACTAACCATGACAGTTGCTTCAAACATCATAAAAGCACATACAGAAGCTACAGAAACTATAGGCCCATTGAGTACGGCTACTAAAAACTAATTTTGAAAACAAATACTTTCCATTAGCCATTTATTTCAGTGAGGTTGGCTTAAGGCAAGTGAGTTAAAACCTGAAATTCTGGAGAAGTGAGGAACTGGTCTAGAATTCTGTAGCTTTCCATTGACACTTCTTCCCTCTTCCCAAGTCCTTAAGCATGCAGGGATTAACAGGAGGGGTGGGGGCAATGCCCCAGACCCCTGTGAAGGATAGCTGAAATTTTCTGGCTTCACAAATGGCCTGCTTCCTGCAAGCAGCTCACACCCTTCACTGGGAGATGCTTAAGAAAAGGAGAGCACTCTATTTTTACTATAAAAAAAGGCCTATCATCCAGATCCAACTTCATAGTCACTTGGAGACCAACAGGACGAAAAGATTACTTACACAGCAAGGCTTCTTTGACACCCTGGGAAGGCTTGTGCTTAGCTCTCACACGCTCACTATCCCAGCTCGGAAGAGAATTGGTCAAGCTTGCAAGCAAATGTTCCTGCACCTTAGTCATAAGGTGTCCTAAGCAATGGGCTAGCTAGGGCATGGGCTTCAATCCCTTCTCAAATTGATCTATGGTCTATGGAGCAGATTCGGCAAACCAAGTTTTGCTAGCCGTTTTTATGACCTTGGTGGGCATATGGCTGAGCAAGGTCTTCAGTTCAGGGTAGCTAAGAACTGCAAGCTGTGTTTAGGGAAATCTGTGACCATCTGATCAGCTTCCAAAGAACCCAGGAAAAGAGTTTCAAGATGCAGCAGAAATTTTGCATCTTATGCGAACACAATAGTCGGTTTCTATGTACCGTATGCTGACCACTGAGTTCACCTCTTATAAAACACCTTCTTACTATGCTCAACAACAGAGGAACCAAAAATAACTGTGGCAAATAAGGAAGGTTTACTTGATGGATTCACACCACAGCCATGTGGTAGCCCTGCGTAACCTATTTAAGTCACTGATCGGCAGCCTTTCCATGCCTTCCAGGGAAGCTTGCAAACCACCAGACTCAAAGTGAATTATACAGCTTTTCCATAATTAAATTATTGTATTTGCATCACATTTATGCTGCAATGAATTAAAAATTAAAATAAAAAATGTTAAACAATAAATAACAGCAAGTTAAAAAAACAAAATTGACAGCAAGAACACAGACTTTCTTAAAGCCCTATAAAGTGCCAGATTCTCAGCCCTGTGACTAAGATCCAGACTTTTATGATCTACAGATGTGATACAGTATAATATCTACAGTTTGTAGGAAATGTGGTCTTTAACCATATTGGCTAGGAATTAACGCCAATATATATCATGTACATATACCAATAAATATATATCACATTGCTACTTTACTCTAGAAAGCTGCAGACAAACCAAAATACTCATTATCAACAAGTCAAAACTTGAAAATTCATGTCATGTAGTTAGACTGCTTTATTTGATCCCTGGCAAATGGCACTATTCTTTCACATGAAAATTACTTGCAAGACATCTGCTAAGATCAGAATGAAGAAAAGGAATCTGAAGACGCATCAGTAAATAAAATGATTAAAGACTTCCCATTTTAATTTAAAGGCTACAGTCTGCTACACACTTATGTGGCAGTTACCACTATTAAACTCAGTAGGGCTTAATTCTGAGTAGAAATAGTCCCCGTTAATGATAACATTACAAAAATATATATGTATTCCAATTATGTGGCAATATGTTTACCTTTCTCCAAACAATGTTAAACTATTCATTCAGCTAACCCATATCGACAAAATGTCACAATGATTTTTTTGTAATGTATTTTAAGCTAGAAATTGCTACACCTGCCAATGCATTTCCATTGCAACAACCCTGAAGTTAGGCTTGCGTATTGCAGAGTCAATCCCTAAACATTATCAGCCTTCCTTGACACTCTCCGTGGGACTGTTCAAGAGAGCTACATAAATTTAATCTCATGCTTAGCTGGCCATGCCTCACATATTTCAGTGAAATTTACTCCCAGGTAGAGACTTCCACGGATTCGATTGACAATTGAATATTTCTAAGTGACATAGAGCCAGTTCATACATATTAAGATTCCTAACTTACCTGTCTGCACAAAAAGGGCCCATGCTCCTTTTAAATGAAGTTATACTAAATTTCAATCACTTTTTTATTAAAAAAAAGGGGGGGGAGAGAATGAAGGAAACCCCAATCATAACCCCACCGCACAGACTTCACAAGCTCTGTACCAACATGCAGGTCCAATTTACAACCAGCCTTCTTCAATACAACACCTCCAGAAACAAGAGGCCAACAACTCACAAAATTCCAGCACTATCAGCGGAAATTCTCAGCTAATCTCCAAAGGCTGAGCAGGGCCAGAAGAACCCAATTAATACTTGGATGGGAGACCACAAGAAATATCAGACTAGACCAGAAAGTAAAAATAAAAAATAAAAATTCCCAGAACAGCAGAACCTACATATCCAAGGAGTTAGGTGTCTCCATGAAATCATTTGGAGTTGATTTATTTTATCTTTACTTGGTTCCAACTCTCTTAAAAGGCACTAAGTCAAGAAAGGTTACTGTACCCAGTGCATCTATAACCAAAACTGTTCTGGATATTACCTCATAATTGCAATCAGTCACCATTTTTTAATATTGGCATTAATGTAAATGCATTTTCTCAGTTGTGCTGCAACAGGGAAGAAATCAAGTATCATCACGGTATTTCATTACTGCAGATCCCTATGCGTTAAAATGTTAAACTCATATTTATATGATATTCAAATATCTCCCAAACTATGCAGACTTTAATAAAATATTTTAAAATTCAATAATTTGATGGAAAACCCGGAATGTCTGCAAGGGTAGATCAAATGCTTCAGCAAGGAATATGATTGCCATTGAGCAGAATGCAACAGAAAATGACAGAAAAATAGCTGGAAAAATCAGTGAATGGACCGGACCTCTCCTTTCTGGCTATTTTGATTCCAACTGACAAGGTAGAAGGAGGAGAAAACCTTTTTGGTATTGACTGTTCCGGGATTGCTGGAACAAGCTTTGATGCCGAAGACCACCATCTACAGACTTCACTGCCATGAATTAAAAGAACTACTGCTCTCATTCTAATAAAAATAACAAAAAGGACAGAGAATTCAGGGTGTTAGGATCTGGCCTGCATTACACATCTCTTCAGAACAACTCCTTCACAAAGGCAAGTCCACCCAACACAAAATACAGTCCCAGTACACACACATTCTGACTGCATGAATTCCCAGCTCCGGAATGCACAAATTCACTGTTCAACCAACGTGTCTGAAATACATTTCAAATTTGATTCAAAAGAACCTCTGCATTTGGAGGAAAGCGAAGGCACAGATTCTCGAGAATCTCTGTTGTGTCACCCACACCACACCTCAGACCATTCTCCATCCTGTGTGTGTTTTTCCTTCCCATTTCAGATGAAGACAAACATCTTCTAGACATACAAAGCAGCTTCCATAACTCAACCCAACCACTTGCTTTATACCGATACCTTTTGGATATTCAGGAGCTCAAACACTGACCTTCTTCCCTTTTACACACACACACATCAATTCTTTCCCTTGTGGGTCCATTTTAGGTAATCACACAACTTTGGTCTCTTTTTCACATTTATGCTCTATCATTTCCAAGCGCAAGACACACCCACAAAAAACCATAACAATAACGAGGAATCTGGTAACCGCTTTCTGCCCAATTTAATTCTGATTAAAGGGCACAAGCTTTGGGGAGAGCTCGGCTTTTAATCAAAGGCACAAAAGCTGCATGAAACGCATCGGCTGCCAGATTTCATTGCCACCAAAAAATAAATAAAAATAAATTAAGATTAAATGTCCTCCTCCCAAGCCACACTCCAATATACAGTGATGAGGGTCCCCGCCTCCACCAGCCACGCATAGTTGGGGAACAGCAAGAAAACAAAAAAAAGGGTTGCAAAAAAGCAGGGTTCAAGCCCTTCTTTGGACCCTGCCAATGGGGGGGGGCGGCAGCCGAGGAGCCCCTCCCTCAGGCCACCCCTTCACACGAGCCCCTGCGGCAGGTCGGGGTCCTGGGGGGGGAGGCAGGAGGGAAGCTAGGGAGTCCTGCCAGAGCCCCCCTCCCCGAAAGAGCCTTCGGGGGTCTCCTCAGACCTCGCTGCCCCCTCCCGCCGCCAGGGAGCCCCCGCCGGCCCCAGGGGCGTCCCCGGCCCCTCCGCGCCGTCTCCTACCTGCTGCTGGCGGGCCTGGCTCGGCTCGGGGCTCCGCCGCCCGCCGCCGCCGCCTCTGACACCCGCCGCCCACACGCGCCATCCAACATGGCGGCCCCGCCGGGGGAGGAGGCAGGGCAGGGAGGGGGAGCGAGCGAGGAGAGAAGGGGTGGGGCGCGCTCCCGCCCGACCGGCGTGCTTACGTGAGGGCGTGCGCGCAGCCGGAGGATGCCTTGCGCAGGCGCCCTGGCTGCCCGGGAAGACTCAGAGTCTGCGCATGCGCCTTTGGTGCTCCCCGGCACGCAGGAGGGATGCTCGTCGTGGCGCGTGCGATGCAGGCGTGGAAGCAGGAATGCGGACACGCGGCTCGCCATCCGCACGTGCCTGCAGGGGTGGCCCTGCTTAAATGATCCGCGCACGCTGAGCGAGGGAAACCTATGAAAGCAATAAACAGGGGTGACTTTATGCCAGGGGTCTTCAGGCACGCTGGCTGAAGCATTCTGGGAGTTGAAGTGCATGTCATAAAAGGCCAAGTTTGAAGACCCCTGCTTTATGCCTCTTTCCCATCCGCGTTTCTCCAGTCTTGGCCAGCCCGGTCGAAGAATTCCCCCCCCCCGGGTCGGGTGAAAGAAGCCCGGAGGGTGACAATGCAGCCCTGGCCAGATTCTTCCTCCACCCGGAGTTGCACAGCATCTCCAAATCTGTTAGAAGATCTGGCTGGAAAACACACAACGTGCACGCACACACACAGCCCCATCCCCCTGCTTTTAGAGTCATAAAATTAATCAATAGGAGAACAAAGGGTTGTGTCAGAACTGGCCTGCAAAATCAGACCTCATGATAGAAAACAGTATAGCAGAACAGATAGCCAGGTCGGATTCCAAATTAACAAAAGAAGAAGCTCATCTGAAAACTGGAGTCTAATTTTCCACGTGCCATTTCCCTAATCCCCAGGAAGACCCCCCCTTTTAGAGCGGCACAATAGGACCAAACACCTGACATTTGAAAATGGGAAAGCAAAATTGTGTGTTGCTGAGGATTTCCTGTGCATGTGGTGAGATGAGGAGGGGGAAATCTTCAGAACACCTTCTGTCCTCCTGAAAGATGCTGAAAGATGAAGCTTTGGGCTGCTTGCTGAGAACACAAACACACACACACACACACACACACACAGAGAGAGAGAGAGAGAGAGAGAGAGAGAGAGAGAGAGAGAGAGAGAGCTTGGTTTGGTTGGGTATTTCCATGCCAAGCAAGACAGGCAGGCAATAATTTATTCTAATTGGCACCCTGCTGCATTCTTCTGCTACTTGAGGAAAATGGCCAGCTGCTGCCTCTTTCTCCCAACACCTGGAGAGACCAGTGGTTAATGTAGGAGGAGGAGGAGGAAGAAGAAGAAGAGGGAAGGCGCTCTCTTCTACAGTAGATAATTACTTTCAGAAGCTCAGGATGCAAAGACTACATCTCTCTTTGAAGAGAAGACAAATCCTGGCAATTCTTGTTTGTTTTTATATTTTACACCCTGTCGGGTGTTTTCAGACCTGGCCCCAACTGGAACGGTGATCTGGGGCCGATGCCAGGGCGTTGGGGGCCTCAAGGCCCGCTGTGTTGGCCCAGATGCAGCCAAACCTGTCTCCCATCATTTTAAAATGCTAATCCCGGCCAGGAAGGCTAAGCCAGTTGCTCACCTTCCTCCTCTTTAGTTCTCCAAGGATCAGTTCTGATCCAGGTATTCCCTGTTCAAGGGTGACCGCTGAATCACTACCCTCACTGGTGGCCCTTGTGCTCGGAGTAAGGTCTTTTAGCCTCCGCTACTTTAAAACGCAACTTCCAGAATTCCCCATCCTCTTGTGGATTTGAATTCCCAGAATCCCCAAGTCAGCCTGCTGACAGAGGAATCATGGGAGCTGAAGTCCATACATCTTAAAGCTGCTGAGGTTGCAGGAAAGTTGCTGATCCTTGGAGTCGGCTCTTCTGGAGATGGAGACCTTCCCAAATCCCACTGGGTTGAGACCGAAACACAGGAAGCTTCCTTGGTTTGTATGGTTGCCTTCTTTCCAAAAAAGGCCCCCCCACTCCTCCATGCCCTCCCCCAGTCAGACAGTTATCCACAGGGGATCAAGAAGGAGGTTTTGATTAGATGAATAGGCAACCCCTCCCTCGCCCCCCTCTGCCCTGCCTCTCGGGCTCCCCCTGCCTGAGTGTTTCCCCCCTCCCTGCCCACCAAGGAACCCTGGAGCATTTTAATGAAGGGCTGCACAGCAGCTAATCACCCCGTCTGCCTCTGCTTCCTGGGCTGCGCATATTTTCAAGTGGGGGTGTTGGATGCCACATGGATCTCCTGGAACTCTGCCAGTGTCTATGCAGGAAGAGCCAGTTCAGAGGGGAGGCGGATGCAGAGATGCACTCACCAGTCAAAGCATCACGTTTCAATGTTCCCACCTGCAGGACGTGGCCGTGTGTGTGTGTGTGTGTGTGTGTGTGTGTGTGTGTGTGTGCACGCGCGGCATCCCAGAACTTCCCAGGAGCCCCTCCAAGGAATCTCAGGGGCTGTGGCTGCCTTGTCCTCCTTTCCTTCTTCCTTTCCCCTATTTCTGCGTCCCTTTGCAGCGTTGGAGCCACGTTCCTCCGATGCTTGGCCAAACAGGCTGTTTCCACTAGATCAGGAAAAGCAAAGGAAGCAGTAAAAAACAAAAAATAGCCTGCCTGCCCATGATGTGTCTGACAGCAGCCAGGAAGCTTTTGGCAACCCTGTCAGACATCGGTGGGAACTGAAGAAAAGCAGCCTTCAGAACTGGAATCTCGTCCTGCCTGTCCCCGGGTGGGGCTGTTGGTGGAGTTGTCACTCACAGACAAAAAAAAATCAATAATATCTAAATAGAAGCATTAAAATCATTTGAAAAAAAAATTAGAGAGCCTGTGGGTATTTTGGTTAAGATGTTGGGCTGGTACAGATTCTGGTTAACTCTTAGTCTTGCAACACCCTGTGGTCTTTGGGGCCACTCACTCTCCTTCAGCTCAGCCAACTTCGCAGGAATGTTGTTTAATGCAAAATAGATCTTGTCCTGAGCCGACATCCAGTAAAAGCACATGCTAAGTCAAAATGCGCCTGTGGATATCTTCCTCCACCTCTCGAGTAGAGGCTTGGAAAGGGCTCCCCATTCCCTGATTCGTTCCTCCTTTTCCTTCCAAACTGGAAAGGCAGGCTGCAGATCCCGCCACTCACCCACCCACCCGGTTCCCACCAATCTGCTTCACCAGACTGATGGGGAGGGAGGAAAATAGAATGGCAGGTGCTTCTAAACAGCAGGCTCACCCAGAACTCGGACTCAGTCAGTCGGGCACTTTTATGGTCTTGGGCCTCTCTTGCGCTGCCCAGAATGCAGTGGGTTGGGGCAGTCTGCAAATACACTTAAATAAATAACCAGCATCCTTTAAAAAGCGAGCCTATGAGGAGCCTAGAGAAGGGGTTATTTCAGCAACCAGATTAAGGGTGAGGTGAGCACAGCCAACCTGGCAATCTTCTTTTTCCAAGCCGGGGGAAAGCCAGGAATCTCACCAACCTGCTCAGAGGAAGCCAAAAGGGAGAGTAAGAAAACAGATGCTGAGCCGCATCCCTCCGTGGTCCTGGCCTTTGCCAAGTGAGAGGCCAAGGGCATCTGTGGGATGCTAAGTGATGCCAGCCACATTTGGCTGGCAAAGTTCCTTTGCCCGTTTTTACCTATCTCCTCCCAAAGCCCTACGCACCACAATTGATTCCCCAGACAGAAGAGAAGTGTGGTGCCTTGGAACAAAAGGCCAGAGCAACACAGATGCAACTCCCCTCCCCAGTTGGGCACAATGAGGCCCAAGGGACTGGGTGTGCCCCACGCACATCTGCCCAGGCAACTAACTTCCTACTCGGTGACCCGATCCAAACCCGGTTAAAAGGCTGATGACAGAGCAAAGCTGGGGGTGTGCTGATGCCTTGGATGCTCCAGTGACAGATCAGGGGCTGTTTGTTTCATCCACATCCTGGCGTGTTTGAAATGAGGTCAGCCAGGAAAAACGATCTCTGTGTCTCTCTGTGTCTCTCTCCCTGCTCTTGTTTGGTCAGGGGAGTGACAGATGGGGGCTTTTAGCATTTTCTATCCTGTGCTGCCCAGAATGCAATGGGCTGGGGCAATTTGTAAATATGCTTAAATAAATAAATAGCAACCTTAAAAAAGCAAGCTACCCAAAGGCTCTGTGCTCACAAACAAGCCTTGTTCGAACAAAGAAAAGGACTGGGACAGGTCAATTCACATGGCTGAGTTCCCATGACATGTTGCTCTGCTAATCCAGTGGGAAAGCAGCAACTGGTTGCTTCCTCCAAGGCAGGAGGACACCAAAGCGAAAGATGGAGAAAAGAAAATCCTGCTGAGCAATTCAAACGTGAGTTGGGCCACGGGTCAGTGAAGATTCTCAGATACCCAGGTAAAATCGTCTGAAAGCTGAGTCAGGGCAACTGGTCGTATCTTTTTGCTGGTTTGAGATAATTCTACAGTTAACCAGTGGAACAGCCTGCCTCCAGAAGTTGTGGGTGCTCCATCACTGGAGGTTTTTAAAAAAAGACTGGACGTCCATCTGTTTGAAATGGTGTAGGGTCTCCTGCTTAAGCAGGGGGTTGGACTAGAAGACCTCCAAGGTCCCTTCCAGCTCTATTCTGATTGATTGATCTGGCGCACTTCAAGCTACTAACTAGACGGCTTCCCAGGCAAAAGATTGTCCAAGGCCCTCTCGCCACCTTGTGGCCAAATGAGGCATTTTAGAAAGATTTGTGCCCATGTCTGGGCAACTGGCAAGGGTTGGGTGCAGGGCCACTGGCCCCCAACCTCCTAACCAACAGGCAGGATAATCCTGCAGATCCACTGGAAAAGACAGCAAGACAATGGAAAAATCTGATTTGGGGGCAGGACCCCCCAAAAAATCAGAGCAGAAACTTTCCGGGCTGCCTTTTGCATCCACTACACAAATTCAACAAATGGTTACTTGGTTGTTGTTGTTTTTCACCTAGAAAAGCAACAGGAGCCAGCTGAGGGGGAAAGAGGCTTGCTTGGGTTCATGGCTGCGGCCAGGGAAAAAAAAGTTGTTTTCGCATTTTAGAAGCTGGCGATGGGTTCGAGCAGACGCGCCTGCCTTGAGCGAAGCGGGGCAGGGGGCAGGAAGCCCCCTGGGAGAAGAGGAGGAATTCCCCTCTGCGAAGTTGCCTTCTGCAGGTGCAGCTTCTTTGTTCCTCACACACTTGCACACCCCTCCAGCAAACATATTCAAATACATTTCCTGTCTCATTTTTACGCACAGATTTTTTTCCTCTTCTTTTTCTGGCCTCAAACTACCTCCTGACCCGTGGCTGGAAATAAAACTTTGGGGTGCTGCTATACACAGAAGACAAAAGGCAACTCAGCCTGGAGCTTCTCAAAAGGAACTCCAGGCTGGCTTTTTCAACAGGCCTTTGCTGGACAACCGAGTTGGGCCAACCAGGCTGGAGAAGTGGCGTCTTTGAGGTCTTGCTGTGGGCCAGAGAAGGACCAGCCCCCAAATGGAAGCCCTGGCTTTGTATAACTTCCAGGCTTCGGAGAAGGATGAATTGCCCTTTAAGAAGGGAGACACGCTCAAGGTAATTGGGGAGGGGGATTGTCTGGGTTGCTGGCAGATCAAGCCCCAAGTGCATTTGTTCTGAAATACACAAAAATCAGATCCAGTTGGACAGCTGAATAAAATTGGCCATCTGAAGCAAGCTCAGAGATGATAGATGATACATAGATGAGAGAGAGAGAGAGAGACGATATAGTTCTGATCTGCCTTGCTTAAATTCCCAAACTTAAAAAATACCCCCAAGAGCATTACATTAATCCTGCTTTTGTACAGAGTGTTCCGTGTTTCTAAAAAGTGTGCCTAGAACCTGAAATAAGCAGAGCCATTTTGACTGCACCCTGGTGCCACTCGGCTTTGGGAAAATAATCTATGCTCCTCTGGGCTTCCTCAATGCCAGGATGGAGTCTACTTAAGAGGGTTCATCTCCCCCCCACCTCAGCTACAACCCAGCCCCTCCACAGCCTTCTGCCAGTTTTCCCCCACAGCTTCTGCCCAATGTTGGCTTACTCCTCCTTTTGAGTCCACAGATTCTAAACATGGAAGAGGACCAGAATTGGTACAAAGCTGAGCTCTTGGGTTTGGAAGGATTCGTCCCCAAAAATTACATCAAAATGAAACCCCATCCGTAAGTAGCTTTTTCTTTCCCACTTGGGCAAGACGGATAAAACTCAGCAGTGCTATCATGGGGCTGGGTTATGACAATGTTAGACTTGCCCTGGGCTGTTCTGCTCAGAGAGATTTGATGAAGAGACTGCCTAATCTCTGACCAGTATCTCTTACCAAACTGTGGGTTGCCTGATCCCCATTAATTCCCCTTCTGAGACCCGGAGCCTGTCCCTTCCCCGCCTGGCCTCAGCTGTCAAGGGCTGTCCCTAGGGAGAGGTCAAGAGCTCTGTCTGCAGGGTTAGGCACAAAGCGTGTTTCCAACCTATTTCAAACACGGTCCACAGATCCTTCCTGTAACAAAGAGAGCTTAGTTCAAGTTCTCACCGAAAGAACTCAAGCATGGCCATCCGCTCTCGTTCTCACAGAGTCAAAACTAAACCAGGAGGGAGAGGCCAGAGCACCCCACGCGCTCTTCAGCTACAAGTGGAACTGAAACGTTCTCGGCCACCCCCGTGGCTGTCGCATTTCATAAATTGGGAATCTTGGCCTGCTCTTTCTCGCCCCTAATTCCACCTCCTGCCTCTGACCCTCCAGGTGGTATTCTGGCAAAATCTCCAGGCAAGGCGCCGAGAAGGCCCTTCTCAAACGACGGTTCCGGGGCGCCTTTCTCATCCGGGAGAGCGAAAGCAGCCCAGGGGATTTCTCCATCTCTGTGAAGTAAGTGCTTTGCCTTGAGGCTGGCGGGAGGCAAGTGTGTGTCCCTCTGCTGTGAGAACACAAGGACCAAAATGCCTGTCAACAGAACCCTGAGGACACGCCTGCTTTACACAACCGTTGCTGTCAGCTGCAGCTTGGGACACCAGAGGGTGCTCTCTGAACACCAGGAAACAGCCCAAGCGCCTTTTCCAGGGGGAAAAAAACCCCAGGAAGGAGCTTGGAAGGAGCCAATTTCCTAGCTTTGGGAAATGAGAGAACAATTAAAATAAAATAAATTCCTACTAGCCCAATGCACGCTTCCGCTTCTGCAGTAATCTTGATTGGCTATTCAACAGCAGGTACTTTTGCTTATATCGGTAGTCCACCCATGGCTGGGGCATTCTGGGAGTCGAAGTCCACCCCCTCAAAGTCACCAAAGTTAGAAACGCTGCTCTAAGGTCATCCAGCATCTTTCTTCCAACTCTTCCTCTTTGCTCCTCACATCCCATTGTTCTGCACACACAGAAGCCCCCCCTCCTCATCCATGCACATCTGGAGGGGCTCAGCCACTCCTCGGTCCCTCCCACACCTGCCATGGCCCCCTGGGCACAACCGGGTAGGCAACAATGCCACTCTCCAAACTAACTTGCTTTGCTGAAGGAGACGCCCAGGAGGGAGGGTGGCAAGAGGACACAATCCAGATTCAAGTTCAGACTGATGCGCAGAGCCTGACGTGCCAATCTCCCAGATAGCTTTCTGTGCCAAGGGCAACCCATTAGGGAGAGAAACCCTGGGGGGGGGGGAATATGACTTCATCCATCACTTTGCCAGCTTGGCACCTTTTTCCCACCTCGACCCATTTTGTATTCAAAGTTAAATCTGGGCATTTTCTTCCTTTCTCTTTGCCTTGTTCAAACGTGACCAAGAAGAGACTTCACAGCACCTCCTCTGCTTCCAAGGGACTAGAACCTGTAGCAACAAGCCCCGAAGCTATCCGTTAAACATGACAGGACTGACCTCTCCTTTCTTTACCAGGGTGTGGTTCTGCTCCCCGTGAGCACAATTCTCAGAGGCCTCTGGAGCCCATTTTACCACTTTGTGCCTGCAGGATTTATCCCTGCTGTTTCTGACAAGGGGTCTGTCCCACTTCCTGCCACAGGAGAGGCCTCTGCTTCTTCTGCTCTCCCTGGTTCCCTGGAGTGTGAACAGACCAGACACATCAGGCTGGGGAGATGGCTTGACCCTGTGCACTCTGCACATTCTTGAAGGACCTCAATCAGCCCTCCCCTCCCCCCCAGCCTCCCCCCCCCCAGCCAGCATACTCTGGAGCCACTGAGGCCACAGGCTCCAGGGCTTCACATCTCGCTTCAAGTCTTTGCTGGCTGGGGAACTCCAGGAGTTGAAGTCCACAAGTCTTAAAAGTTGCCAAGTTTGGAGACCCCTGACCTAAATATTAGTAGTTCTTGACTTATGATTACAGTTGGGGACCAGAATTTCCATTGCTAAGCAAGGCGGTGGTTGACCGAGTCACGCCCATTTTACAATCTTTTTTGCCACGGGGGTTAGGCAGATCCCTGCGGTTGTTAAGTGGATGATATAGTCGTTAAGCAAATCTGGTTTCCCTTATGGACGAACCAGCCTGGTGGGTTGCAAGCCAAGATTGAATAGTTCCTAGGTGTGTTTTTAAAATACGACAGGTACCAGGCCCAGGTGTGTCCTCTTCAGAGGGAGGAGAAGAGCCTCGAACTGAGCTTGTGGAAGAGGCTGAGATGATTCGTCCTAGATCAACAAGGGAGTTGAGCTTCCAGAGACAGCAATGAAAAGATGCTTCCTTCATGCCCTCAATTATATGGCCAAAATGGTGGAGTCATCCTGGGTGGATTTGCAGGGCCAAAGGGCTGTCAACTCATTTCCAGGATCAAAACACACCCCGTGCCAAGATCTCATCACCTACAAGCCTCGTTCTTCTCTCTGCCCAGTTCCAGAAATGGACCTGCCCTTCTAGGAGAAAGGGACAAAGTAGGTCCTGTTCCAGGCCTGAGGTCTCCTCCCCTGCTTAGACCAGACAGGTTTTACCAAAGTTGCTTCAGAAGCTGCAAAGTCAGGTCAGCCTTTGCATTTTTCCATAACTCCATCCTCCTGCCTCCTTTTACGAGATGTCAACAGGCCAGAATCCTCCTCCTGAGATGGAAAACCACAGGATTTAAAGCTGCTTTGAGTTCTCCCCCAAAACTCAGTCATGGTGGCTGTCTAATTCTATCATTTTTCCTCCATCCACCCAATGACTCTGGGCAGCTTACAAGTCAACATAATGTCAATTTTTCTTCTCCTGCAGTGAGTCCTTCTTCAGACCAACCCACAAAGCTTTCTGAACTGCTTCTTCCCTCCCTAGCAGGGTACTTCCTTCCAACCGCCGCATCCACAGCGCCACAAGCCCTGATGCTCCGTCTCTCCGGTTTTTCTTTCCTTCTCATCCCAGGAAGGTGAACACTCCAGGCATCGGCACCCCAGAGCAAAGAAAATTGCTGTCCAGTGCATTGCCTGAATCAAAACGTTGCTCAAATTCTCTGGGATGTTTAATCTGCAACTTTGCAGATGCAAGTTGTCACTTGACACAGGAGCTGTGAAAGTAAAGCTGTTTCCTGTCGCCTCTTTGTGTTTATATCAGCTTTATGTCTCTCCTGTTTCAGCAGCCGAAAGCTTATAAGGCAGAGCAAGGAGAACAGGGTATAATTATGGCTTAACCCAAGTGCTAGAATTTCAAAGGAGGGGACTTTAAAAAAAAAGCAGCTTGCAAGTAGGGTTTAGCTTGAAGCCGGCCAGCCAGGCAGCTAAATAAACCATGAAAGTTCCTTTTGGAGGCTGGAAGGTGATTTGGGATCCCTCTGAGCATTTAGAGCAGAGGTGTCAAACTCGCAAAGTCAGTGTGACGTGTGGGTTTTGCAATGATGCATCCGGCCCTGATTTGACACCCCTGATTTAGAAGAATGGTAAAATTGCAGAAAATTTTTGGCCTCTGATAATTCAACCCAGTATTTTCCAGAGGTGGACACACATGATATGTAATGTCACCCTACTTCTTCCTCCATGATGGACTCTGATCCATGTAATAAATTCCCAGAATCACCAACCTGGCGGCTTTGAGGCCATCAAGTCAACCCCTACTCCATGGAGGAAGCCCAATCCATCACCAAAATGCCCAGCTGTGCTCTGAGCACCCCACCTCTTAACTTCATCCTCCGCTTCTCTCCTAGCTATGGAGACCAAGTGCTGCACTTCAAAGTTCTCCGGGAGAAAAAGGGCAAGTACCACCTCTGGGAGGAGAAGTTCAACTCCATCAATGAACTGGTGGACTTCTACCGAACCACCACCATTGCCAAGAAGAGGCAGGTCTTCCTGAGAGACCATGGAGAAGCCGAGGAGGTAAGGAACTACCCCGCTTCCCCTCTTTTTTTTTTTGATCCTGTTGTAACTGTAAACAGTCACTAAACAATTGGTTTTAAGTCAAGGACTACTTGCAATTGAACCCCTAAATTTAGATGTTCACCTCTTCTGAAGCCTCTCTTGATCTCCTGGGCTCCCACTGTCCACCTGGCCAAGGCTGACCTTGCAGGACATCCTGCCTCAAGAGGTTCCATCAATCAAATTTAGATGAGGTAGACAAAGGCCTTCCACATCTTCTGTCCTTTGGTCCCGTTGAATGATCCCCAAACTCTCCCTCTGAGGAGCCGCCATCTTATCTCCCACCCCACATCAACCACAGAGCTGGGACAAAGGGGGGGAGAGAGGCTTGCTAACAAGACCCCACTTTCTTCTTCTTCTTCCTTCTTTTTCTTTTCCATGCAGCCCAAGAAGGCAACATTTGTCCAAGCCCAGTTTGACTTCCTGGCCGAGAACCCCTCACAGCTGAGCTTCTGCAGAGGAGACATTCTGAAGATCCTGGACTGCTCTGACCCCCACTGGTGGAGAGGGAAGCTGGGGGTGAAAGTGGGCCTTTTCCCTCGGAACTACGTTTTCCCCCTGCGCATGTGAGCTACCTGGCTCCCTCGGCTGGCGGATGTGATCAGCTGTCCCCTCTGGGCTTTTTCTCCTCTTGCTCCGTCTCACCCCTAGCCAGAGCCAGGCAAAATTTTTCATTTTCACATTCCGATCTTAAAAGAGGCGCGTTGCACACCCGGATGGCCCTTCAGAAGCCGAGACTTTGGGATTCATCGCTGGTTGAAATACTTTGCAGACTGATCCCCATCACTGGAGGCCAAACAAACCTCTGGATATTTTTAATTATTTTGTTTTGTAAAACAATATATTTTTAGAAGTAAAACTGCAATCCAGCTTCAATCGAAGCGCTGCTCTAAGCCAGCCCTTGTTCAAAGCTGTCTTACGGCCCAGGTTTACCTTACCGGCATCTGATGAAGTCAAAGAGCTGAAAGCCTTTTGTGAATTTATGTGCTGGAATGACCTACAGCTGGAATAAGAGACCTCCGATCCGATCTGCTGGTGCAGCCCTGTTGAGATCATTTGTCGTAAATTCCTACCACCCCACATTTGTAGAGAAAAACTACAATTCCCAGCATCCCCTGACAAGATGCATTGACCGCAGACGGATAGTGGAAAGGTCCCTCCTAGAGATACCCTGCAGAGCGCGCTGGCTGGGGAATTCTGGGAGTTGAAGTCCACACATCGTATAGCGGCCAAGGTTGAGAAACATTGCTCCACCCAGCACCCCCACCCCCACCCCGTGGCTCTGGTCTTAGAGCCCCTCTTTGCCTGCCGCAGGAGGAGATTTCCTGCAAATCTTCCGGGTGTCCTGCAGAGTTTTGATCTCATACCAAGGAGGAGATTCTCAAAAGTTATCTTATGGATGCCAAAGTGATTCCCACCAGTGGACTCAGGAAGCAAATGGGGGAATTCCCCCGTTTCTTTCTCTTTCTAAACATTTCATTGGCATTTTGTTATCCAATCCAGCTCTCTCTGCTCCGCAGTCCTCTTGGTCAGCTGCCGAGTGCAAGGAATGAAGGTGCTGATAATCATCCAGCAGGTCAAAAAGTCCACCGCTCCCCTCCTTGACCTTCTCCTGCCCTCCTAATCTTTATGAGCCTTGCCCCAAATCGGGTGTTTGCTCAGCTCCCTGCAGAGGTGCTCCCAAAACTTATCAGGACCACTGTAGGGCTGGGAGCTGTTTTCCACCAGGTGGGCCTCCCCGGCTGGGGACCGACTACGATACAGCCTCCAAGTGGCCCTCAGACCACACTGGGGCCCTCCAAGGAGACGGGAGGGCGGTCCCTGTCTTCCTAAGCAGCTCTGCTCTGCCAGAGATACAAGTCTCAAAAAGTGATTTATTGGGACTTCCGGTGGATTTTGCGTGCGTGATGGCGGCTACTTTGTAGCCGTCCTCCTGGGTAAGTGTAAGAACCGCTATGAACAGCAGACACCAGCTGTTCAGCGGTTCAAAATCCCCCTCCCGGGCAAAGGGGGGGGGTAGAGAGTGTCTGAATAGTGGTAGAGCCTCTTTCGCACCCCCCAAGTTTTTTTTTTTGGGGGGGTGAAAGGAGTGCTCCCACGGAGTTCAGACTTGTCTCCGCTTCCCAGCTGTTTTTGTCCTCAGGGACAAAACGAGCCGCTGCAAACACCTCCGTGCTTAAAGAGAACTGGTGAGTTTTTTTTTTTAAATGGACAGAGCTGAGTAGAGGATTTAGTTTTTGCTTTCTTTGACTTATTTGGATTTTAAGTTTTAAGATTTGTTTCTATTTTTATTCTCTCTTTTTATTTTTTTTCTTTGTTGAAAGGGAAAGTAAAATGGCGATCGGCAAACTCCTCGGTGTTTTTTTTTTCTGGAAGTTAGAATGCTGACCGGCAGGCTTTTTGGTGTTTTTCTTTCTTTCCTTTCCCTTTCTCTTTTTATTTCCTTATGATTGGAATGGTTGTTTTTGGTATCTCTAAGTATTTTTTTTGGAACGGACTTTTTTTATTTAATTATTATTTTTTTTTTTCTTCTCCCTTTTTTTTTCCTTTGAACTCCCTTTTTTTTTATTGTAATGACCCTTTTTTGAAGGACTTTTTTTTTGTTTAATTTTTTGTAATTTTTAAGAAGGAGTAAAACTTTTTTTTAATTCTTTTTCTCTTCCTTTTTTTCCCTTTTTTCTTTTTATTATAATGACCTTCTTTGGAGGGAGTTATGATTTTTGAAGGAATTTTTATAATTTCTTAAGAAGGACTAAAGGTTTTTCTTTAAGATGGCTCCAAAGCGTCCAGGGATTTCTACAGCTTCTAAATCAACAGTTTCACCCTCTTCTGGGGGTCAGCTAATAACTATGAAGGACTTGCAAGACATGATGGGAGATGTTATAATTCAAATTAGGGCAGAAATGAAAAAGATTTTAGAGGAAAACAATAAGATCTTGAGACAAGATTTTGTTTTGGCTTTAGAAGGTGTTGCTTCTGTTCTTGAAAAGGTGAACTCCCATGTGGAAGAGGTAGCTGAAAAAGTGGACATAATGGAGGGGAAAATTGAAAGTATGGAAAAAGAAATGGAAAATGAGATTCTTATGCTTCAATATGGACAAATGGAATATGCCTTAAGAATTAGAGGCCTGGGAGAGTCTTTGCAAGGAGATCTGAAGGAGATGGTTGCAAAGGACTTTGCATTGATTTTGAATAAAGAAAAAGAGGGAATACTTAATGAAATTGAAAAATTATTTAGGGTTAACTCTGTGGTGGCAGCACAGAAGAATCTGCCAAGAGATGTGGTAATTTACTTTGGTAAAAGATCTTTACGCAATGAAATTGTGCAAGCCTATTATAAGAAGAGATTTCAAATTGCTTCACAAGATGTTATAATTTTTAAAGAGATCCCATCTAAAATTTTAAGAAGAAGAAAGGAGTTTGCTTTTTTAGCAAATGAACTTAAAAAGAGAAAAATTTCATTCAGATGGGATGTTCCGATTGGAATGGTGGTGAATTACCTGGGGACATGTTATAGACTTAATACTGTTTTTCAAGCAAAAGATTTTTATACTTCGGTCCTGGGGGTATGTGCATCGCCATCAATTAAGTTTAAAGCTTTGGAAGAAAAGAATGTAGAATCACAGTTTGAAGAGCCTATATTTATGAAAACTGGAGAATCTTTGTGTGAGAGGCCTCAACAAGTCCAGGTTGAGGAGCAGAAGACAACTTGTGCAGTATATAATCCCAAAGAAAAGCAGCAACAGAAGAAGGTTAAGGAAGTTTCATATTTAGTGGTTTCTGAATCTCTGGGAGATGTTAGACCTACAAAGTCTTTGGAGCAATCTTTAAGGGTGGAATTGTTGCCTGAAATGGAAACTGGGAAATCTCAGTCTGAGGGGCATCAACAAGAGAGGAATGGGCAGAGGATAACTTGTACAACTTACAATTGTAAAGATCAATACAAGGAGGAATTTAAGGAACCCTTATTGGCTTCGGAGTCGATGGGAGATTCAGGAATTTTGGAGCAGTCTCCTAAGGCAGAACTTGCAGCATTTCTTACGAGTTTGATACAAGAATGGAGAAGGGAAATGGAAGAATGGAAGAATGGAGAATGGAAAAAACTGGAATGTGAATAATTAATAATACTAATATAATTGAGATTGATAAGGATGTAGTTTTTTATGGATGGAATTAGTTATTGGTGAAGATTGAAATGTTTAATGTGTTTATTAACTTTGTTGTTTTAAGTTTTGAACCTTTAATGATAATATTGTTTAAATTTGTGTTTTGAAGGGATTATAATTTGCTTATTTTAGTGAGTGGATTCTAATGTTTTAAATTTTAAAAATTTGTGGTTTTGGAGGGAGTTTATATAGAGTGATGATTGTATTTAGATTTGTTTAGGATTTAAAAGTGTTTTTAGTTTTTAAATATTATTATTAATATTTTTAAGACAAAATAATTTGTTTAATTAAATGTGCTTAGATTTGTTTAGGACTTATAGGTTTTTTAAGTTTTTGTTTTTTTTTTTTTTTTTTTCTTTTTGGATAGGAGAGAAGATTATGAAGATTGAAGGAAATATGTACTTACTTTAAGTTCTTTAAGAGTATTTAGCTTTAATGGTATAACAAAGATTTGTATGTTTATTTTTTCGTTTTAGGATAAAGAAAGAGGGAGAAATTAGATTTTATATTATAGATATAGATATTCAAAGAAAGTAATGTTTAAATTTGTGTTTTTGGAGGGAGCTTATATAGAATGATGATTGTATTTAAATTTGTTTAGGTTTTAAAAGTGTTTTAAGTTTTTTTTTTTTTTTTAATTAAGCCTGTACTCAGCTCTGGGAAGTCCAGGGGAGGGTTTGGGAGCTTGGGAAGGGGGGGGGGTGAGGTAGGGGGGGGTATGGGAAGGGGATTTGTTTTTGTAAAATGTAAAAATTTTCAATTAAAAAAAAAAAAAAAAAAAAAAAAAAAAGTGATTTATTGGGTTTTATCTGCTGAGCCACTGGGCTACTTGAAAAGGACTTACGAACGCCTTGCTGCTCAGAACTCTCTCCTGCCCCCTCCCCAAGTCATTTCTTTTATTTTTAGAAAAAAAGTCTCTGGAGGAAATAAAGTTTTCCATTCAAAACCCTTTCCCCTTCTGAGAAATATTCTATATGCCTCCCCGAGATCCTTTTCCGAAAGTCCCTTTGCCAAGGACGCCAGGGCTGAAATCCGTTGCAAAGCACCCACAGCCCCTCTTTTAACTTCATGCTGAATACAAACACGTCCCTTCCTTTGATTTCATCCCTCTTGCCCCCACCCCAAACGAACTCAGCCAGGAGGCTCCTTCAAGCGAAGTAAGCGTAGAAAAAGAGGTTGACGCAGAGGAGGATCACGGCGTTGGCAGAGCAGACCTGGGACCAGAAGCCAGTTGCGGCTGCCCTCTGCCTGCCCCGGCCACCCTCGACGTCCCTCTCGGTGCAGGAGGACCCCAGCTGGAGGATTCCTGGGGCAGCTGGCAGGGAGAGAAGGAAAAGTTCGAAGGTGGCATTAAAAATCGGGGTGCCCAGAGAGGGCACTCTCCATAGACATAATTTCCACCTAACCTCCGTGTGCAGTAGCAGTCCACCTTAGAGTAGGAATGCCAAGGAGAACAATCAAGAGGTGGACCGGGAGACACATTTCATTACTCTGCTCTGCCTGGCACATGTGGGTGTCTCTGTCTCTTTTTTCCCCTCCTTCAGCCCTGGAGGGGGCTGGATGCCCTTTGGGTGCCCCCCAAATGTACTGTCACTTTCTATCCCGGGGAGGTTGAGTCCCAGTCCACTGCTCCCACTTTTCTGTCTTCATCCTCAGAGTAGGACTGCCTTGTTTGGCATCAACTCTAGAGAAGTTTGGCTCCTGCCCCCGAGACCCACCGTCTTCCTCTGCTCCAGGCAGGCATGGGGGTCCAGGGAGATGGGCAGATGGAGGCGCCTCCAGGGACCGCCGAGTCCACCAAGTCACATCCTTTATCTACAGTGTTTTCCAAAACAGAAAAATAAAGTTGTGGCAGCTGATAGCGTACGGATCCTTCCCTTCCCACTTATAGGCTGGATCTTGCCAGGGCCAATAAGAAGAGGATCATTGGGATCAATTTCCAGCCGAAAGCATCCTTCTGATGGCACCTTCCACCCACTCATATTTTCCCTCTCCCCTGCGACCTGGGGAGCGAGCAGGAAAGCAGCGGCACTGGTTCTCAGGGGGTGGGGGCTCAGAAGGGATTCCAGGGCATGCTCTTCCCCAGAACGTCTCTGACCAAAGGCCACTTTGTTTGGGGAGGTGGCTGTTTAGAAGGCGTGGAGGGAGTGGACTCACTCTTGGGATGGGCAGGCTCAGCCCTGCCTGCCTCCCGCCAGCGCAGGAATGCAAGGCCGGCTCGCCCACGGGGCTCAGCCATGGCGTGGTCAGCCGGAGGCTCTGAAGCCTTTGTGGGCTCTCAGCTGTGGCTTCGGCTTAGCCAGAGGCACAACCCAGCCCTCCTCTGAGTCAGCCGACAGAGCATCAGGCATGAATCCAGCCTGGAGATGGAGCTCACCTCTCCCCCTCCGAGCGGTGGCTGTGGGACCCCCTAATTCTCCTCCCTGCCCCCAAATGCTCTGCCACAATCTCAGTCCTTCCTGGCCCTCAGAACCCCAGTTTGAAAAGGGAGTCCCAGGGGCACCTCTGTGGATGCCCCCGGCTTTCTTGCCCGCCCAGGCCCTCTGGGGGCTCTGCCATCCCTCCTTCCTGTACTGACCTGGGCTTCAGGTGGGGGCGGTGTCAACCAGCTGATGCCCACCACCGTGACCGCAGTCAGGAGACACAGGAGGAGAGCGAAGTGGAGGTAATGCAGGTCCCTCACAAATGAAGGGCGGGGGTCCTGGATGCCGCAGCGGGGGACGGGGTAGGCAAACTCCAAGACCATCCGGCTCAGCCCCACTGCCAGCCCCACCGTCAGACCCCAAAAGGCCCCCTGCACAAGAAAGCCAAGACCGTCTAGACCAGGGGTGTCCAGCTTTGGCAATGTTAAGACTTGTGGCCTTCCACTCCCAGAATTCCCCAACCAATGCTATGGTAGGATTCATTCAATGGGGCTCCCACACTTTTCGCTCTAAATCCAGGTGAGCCAGTCACGGCCACGATCAAATACGCCACAAGGCTCTCCTGACCGGGGCTGATGGTTTGTACACTGGCCAGGTGTGCAAAGGGCTGCACGGATTGGTTTCACCTCCCCAAGCAGTGTTGGGGCAGCCAGAGGTTTGGCACTGTTGAAGGCGCAGACGTGCGCACGCACACACACACACACACACACACACACACACACACACGCTACAGAAGTCACCTGCTCGTTGGCTCTCTTCGAAAACATAGCCAGGAGAAAGACGGCGGTGACGGGAGGGGCCAGGTAGCTGGTGACCGACTGAATGTAGATGAAGAGTTGACCGCTGCTGGAGCTCTGCAGGATGGGGAGCCACACCACACTCACCACCACCAGGACAATGGTCACCACCCTGCCAAAGCAGCAAAGACACCCCCCCGCAGGTCACTTTGCCCTTCCTGTCTCCCCCCCCCGCGCTCATTTTCCCTGTCTTCCACCCTCCAGAATCACCCCAAGGGGCTTCAAAAAGAAGGAATCACAACAGAGTCCTCAAAGATGGACTTTTCCAGGGATTCTGTTCGACCTGCAGCAAAAGAGATTGTGTCCCCGTTGAGGATTCTTTGATTCATTTTCCTTCCTGGGATGGTCATTGATTGCAATAAACATCCTTCTCCTTCTCCTCCCTTTTCCTTCCCTTCCTCCTTCTCCTTCCTTTTTCTCTTTCCCTTTCTTCTCTTTCCTTCTTCTCCTTTCTCCCTTCTTTCCTTCCTTCTCCTTCTCCTCCTTCTTCCTTCTCCTTTTCCTTCCTCTCCTTCTCCTCTTTCTCCTTTCTTCATTGCTTCCTTCTTCTTCCCTTCTCCTTCTTTTCTTCCTTCTTCTGTCCTTCTCCTTCCTGGTTACAAAGGTTTCCCCCAACTCAAATAACATTTCAAAGCCACCGAGCAACACTCCATCCTCACTGAAGTTCTCACTTATTTTAAGTTTTCTATTTCCTTAGGATTTCATGCACTTCTGCAAAACTGAGGATGATCTTGAATGGCTAAAGGAGGGACAGACCCAACCCCGAACATCTGAAATCCATTCCAGGAAGGAGATATAAAGGGCTGGGACGGTGAGCTTGAGAAACAGCCTAGTCAACCACCAGATAAACAAAATCTAACCCAGAAGCATAATTTGAGAAAGCAGCTCAGAATCAACCTTCCCGGGTTGTCTGAGAAGTAAAAGCAAAGTGGGGTGGGGGTGGGGGTGGGGTGGAAATGCTTCCAGACTTGCAACTTCCAGGCTTCTGTTTCTCCATCCTTACAATCAAGGTAACATTCATGATGTTGGTTTCCCAGTCTGGACTAGCTCAGAGGGTTGACACACCCTTGTAAACACACCCACGTCCCCTTGCAGCCCATCATACGATGGAGGAAGGAATTTTGCAACAAGAATTTTGTGGAAACTCAGCTGACTCACTCTCAATTTCAGGGGCAACCCCCAACCGAACCCACTCATGGCACACCAATTCGGAAGTGACTGTGTCGCCTGCTTCTCCCAAGCATTGCGGCATGAGAGTCACTGCGGAAGGAATTCAGATGTAATGCTTATTAACACCTTGCAAGACATCACTCAACACGCCCCAGCCAGGAAGGGTGTCTCACGGCTACTGAGGAGGTCCACCAAGTTCTGGGAAGCCACCAACGAAAGAGAAAAGAGAGACACGCGGTTAAGACATTCCATCACACCATACAAAACCCACAAATCCTCGCAACGCACCATCAGCACTGAGAAAACCATGATAAAGAGAAGAAAAAGCAACAAGTCCGGGCACATTGTTATGATAACTGTTTATTTATACCTCAGGCCAAAAAAGCCAATCAGATCTTAATTAAAGCACCCCCTTATTCTGGTAGCTCTCCTGGGGAAGAGGAGGAAGATGATTAAGGAGAGAAATTGCAGAGATGTAAAGCCAACTCTGCCTTTTCAACTTGACCTTGAAAATCAGCATTTCAGGAAATGGGCTTCGGTGCCAAAGCCCAACCCAAAATTTTAGGAACGACAAAAAGGGGAACGATGGCAGGGCTAAATGAGGCGGGTAAATGAGAAACACACATCTTTTGTGCAAACGTAAATGTCTTTGTTATCTAAATTTGAATAGTCAGCCTGGCAACTTCCTGATGTTCCACGGAAAGCACCTTATGGCGAGCGATGGCTGTGGGCAGACATGCTTCCCCCAATTCCTGAAGCAGTAACTTTTTAAAATTTAAACTTATCAGACATTTAAAATGTCTGAGCGGAAGCTTTTCGGGAAGACCAAGGAAGAAGGTATGAACCAGTCTTTTTCAACCTTGGCAACTTTAAAACATGTGAACCTCAATTCCCAGAATTCTGGGAGTTGAAATCCACAGTCTTAAAGTTGCTAAGATTGAAAAATTTTGGTATAAACATTTAGAAAGAAAGAAGGCTAATCGGCAGGTGAGAGTGTGCAGTCCAGCACACCTGGATAGTATTGGATAGAGAACCTTCTCGAAGGTTTGACAACTTAATAATTCTGATTATTACTGATCCAAGCATAGGATGCAAAAGCACCAAGTAGCCTTTTTAATTGACCTGCTAGGTTAGGCACCTCCGCAGGGCTGTCCTCAAATGGCCAGCAAGTCCTGGAAACGGAGCTTTAGCATAACTGCCCATCTATCTCCAAGCCTTTGGGTGTGTCAGGATCACACCCTGCCGCTTCTTTCAAAGCCAAAGCAGGGCAGTGGCCCAGTTCTGCCCATTGCAGGCATTTCTCAATCAGCATTCAAAACAAGAAAGTTCTCCAAGCCCAGGGAGGCAAAGCGACAAGGAGAAAAGGGCTTGAACAAAAAGCAGAGGCAGGGAAACGTCATTGGCCTCCTTGGCACGGTGATGTCCTGAGGTGTGTGAGGTCATCACAGCCTGTTCCAGAGGTTGGAACAGCTGGAAGTTGACCCCAATGAAGGATACCCTTGGACTTCACAGTGGTGGGGGGGATTAGGGATGCAGGGAGCGGTGGTTCAGCATGGGGAGAGCCACAGGTTGGTGTGTCACCATCACCCCCACCCTGTCTGGCGGGTAACCACTCGGGTCTAACAGGACTGCCAGCCAGCCATCAGCCCACCAGTTATAAGAGGGGAGGTCTGTGTTGACTGATAACTGGGAGGGTCCCAGCAGAAGCAACGAGGTGGCAGAGATGCTCCACGCCAAGCGGTCCATCCTTCACCAGCCTCACTTCACACTGCCCTCCTCCTCTCCCCCAGGAGACTGAACGGGCCACCCGGGACACACAAAGACAATTGTGGCCCCCAGAACTGACCAGGATCCAGTCCTGGAATGGCCCACTCCCCCCTTTGGCTTCCAGCCCCTCCTCGCCGCGTGCTACTCCCCAGGCAGGATGAGGCAAGGGTATCGATCCCGGAGACAAAAGGGAGAAAAGAGACCTGCCTCGTCCTTATAAGGAAAACCGGAAAGAAGGCCTGCTGAGACAGGATCTGTTTTTCCAAGCGGGGCTGTTTGCTTCTTCCCCATGACAACCCACCTGGCAGCTTCAGCCTCGCCCCCTGAAGATCAGCCACTCCTGGATGGAGGCAGGAGGGGGGCAGGAAGGGCTCCTGCCAAAGGGGGGGGGGCGCTTTGCCCAGCTTGGCCTCGTTGGACTACAAATCCCACCATCCCCTGCCACTCTGACTGGGAGCGATGGGATTTGTGAGGTTTTTGTGATTCCAAAGGTGAAGAACGCAGGGAGTTCTCAACATACGACCACTGTGCAAAGTGCTGGTTAAATGAGTCGTGTCTCGTTTTATGACCTTTTTTTAACCATGGTTATTCAGCAACTCACTGCAGATGTTAAGCGAATCACACAGTCATTAAATGAATCTGACTTCTCCTACTGATCTTGCTTGTCGGGACTTGGCAGGAAGGATCACTAATGGCGACCACGTGATCCCAGGATGATGATGCAACCGTCCTAATACATGTCGGCTTCCAAGCGGTCCAATTTTGATCCCATGACCATGGGGGTGCTACGACGGTCGTCAATGCGAGGACCAGTCCTAAGTCACTTTTTTCAGCGCCATCATTACTTCAGTCTCTAAATGAATGTAAGCTGAGAACGATCTGAAAATGTTTTAAGCCCAGCAGATACGCCCACCCCCAGCTAAATACAATAATTAGTGATATAGTTTTGCTTTTCCCCCAACACCTCTCTCTCTCTCTCTCTCTCTCTCTCTCTCTCTCTCTCTCTCTCTCTCTCTCTCTCTCTCTCTCTCTCTCTCTCTCTCTCTCTCTCTCTCTCGTCATTCTGCGGTTCCTTCCCCTGTAGAAATCGCCCCCCCCCAATTTCCCAGACGGATCAGAGCACGGAAGAGCCACTGTTGCTCCTGATCCCAGGACACAATCTGAGTTCTGCCGGAGCCTCTCGGGAGCCAAGGGGGGGGCACCTCCCTGAATTCCCATTTCCCCCAGCAGAGAAGAAGCTCAGCAGTCCCAAGGGAGCCTGGGCCCCTCCACCTGCCAAACTAAACATTGCGAAATCCCCGAGGAACTAGGTTGAAACCCAGGCGTGCCCTTCCCACAGCTCTCTCTCTCCTGCACCGAGGTGACATCTTGGTTCCTCTCTGCACCTCACAAGTGAAGCGATGAGCACAAAGAGACAAAAGAGGAAAACAATTAAGTTGTGGAGGGGATGGGACTGTTTACCCTGCAGATCACGCCAGGCCCAGCCAGGCGATCACTGCTGGCCAAACAGGGCAATAAAAGGGGCTTCGCTCTGTGATTAACCGTGATGAAGATCGGTGCGCAACCCAGACAATTGTCACTTGAGTTCTCGCTGTATCAGATAAACAAACTCAATCGCTGAAGTCAGCAGATGCTGGTGAGATTGTCGAGCCCATTTTACAGGAAGAGAGACTGAATTGCAAGTGAGACTGGAAAATTACTCAGGAGGAGACGACGAAGACGAGAACAATTCTGGCCTGGAATTGAAGCCTCTAAAATAGTTTTGCCCAATTTGGTACCTTCCCTACAGAGTGGAAATCCCACAGTCTTTCCAAGCTTGCATCGAGTATGTTTTTGGAAGAAGTACATTCACACCTCTGGATTCTGGCACTCCCTTTTTGGCCAACGTCATCAGGCTGAGCCACTGTTGCTTTGGGCCCAGATTTTAAACCAGTTTTTGATAAGGCAGCTGAAACATGGCTTATCTCTTCAGCATCCCATCAAGGTTGCCTTTCACTCTTCAGTCTCCCTCTTCAATGTGATCCCAGTGACAAACCCTGATGTGCCAAGTTGGAGATGAATTAGATTCCTCATCTTTGATCTCAGTTTCCCGTTTTCTCCTCCTCGTCCAACAGCTAGCCAACATTTATGGATATCTGCTTGCTCAGCCCTCACGGGACTGCTGTAGACACTCCCCCCTCTGTTGATATTCTACCAAACTTCTGCAAATGTTTAAGTTCTCCCTTTTCTCCTAATGTAGGCAGTGCTGGTTTAGCTACAAAATATGGGACAGCAGACTTAATAGGATTGTGAATCCCTCCCCCTTTTCTCTGATAGAGCAAAATCAACCAAGAGCACAATTGCCCTCACCTTCCAACCAGCAGCAGCTCCTTCTCACTGGCCTCCTGCCGGACCTTCCTCCAGATGTCCATGGTGAAGAGGGCGCTGCTGCTATTGAAGATGGACGTCAAGGATGACATGAGGGCAGCCATCATCACTGCCACCATTAAGCCCCGCAGGCCTGGGAGGTTGTGGAAAGGCGAGATGATATTAAAAGTGCAACCACTAAATTGGAGGAAGGGAAGAAGGAGTGGAAGAGGAAGACCACGTGCCACAGGAAGCTGCCTCTATAAAAGCAAGGGGCACCATCTCATCTTCACCTACCGCTGGGCATGAGTTCCATCACCAGCTTGGGATAGGCAATGTTGGCACATCCAACTTCTGTTCCACAGACTCTAGTGCATTCTTCTGGATCAACACACCCAACGGCATCTGAAATCCACACAAACATGAGGGATCCTCAACTTATTGGGTCTCCAGCCATAGGCTCCCCTTGGGAAAGACCCGGAGGCCAGAATCGATGGCACTGGATCCAGAAAACCTTTCGCATATTTTGTTCTGTCATATACAATCTCTCCAGATACATATAATTTCTTTCTTTTTTCTTTTTTCCTTATTATGGCTGTTTTCCTATGTAAAGCACCCGGTGTCCGTGGGAGCCTGGTTTTTTTAAGGCTAGGCCCATGAATAAATAAACAAACTAGATCTGGCTTCATTAGATCTGCAGAGTGGCTACAGGATCTGATGAAGACACAGTTCTCCAAAGCTTTTCATGAAATTATTTAGTCTGAAAAGGAGCTCCCAGACTCCGCCTGATAATTAACTAGCCCAAGTCATAATACTAATGGGGCCTCATTAGGGATTATTATATTAGACATTCAAGGCGAGAACAGCAACTTCCGTAGAAGCCCAACAATGCAACAGATACCACATGAAGAAATCTCCAGCCTCTTGCATGCATCACAGGGTCTCTCTCTCTCTCTCTCTCTCTCTCTCTCTCTCTCTCTCTCTCTCTCACACACACACACACACACACACACACACACAAGCCAAAAGTCTCTGAGCACCAGCTGGGGGCAAGTACCCACCACAGGAGCAATGCGCTTGTCCCCCTGCCCTAGAGAGAGAAGCTGGGTGAGGGGGTATCAGCAAAAGAAAGGAAGTGGAGACAGAAAAGGCAGCCCTAGCTTCCCCAGGGAAATTGCAACCAAAATCCCATTATTATTATTGTTGTTGTTGTTGTTGTTGTAGATTGTGCAGTCAGCCAGATGTTTAGACTGGAGCTGACTCTTTTATCCCAAGGACCCGGGACAGGCAGATGTTGTTGTTTAATAATAGTCAAGGCCTCCTGGGAGGATGTCAGAAGCAAAACTGCCTTTTGCAATTGGCCGAGAGTGATTTTGTTATTATGATCCTCATCAACATCCTCGTTATTTAATAGAGCTGCCCATTCCAGCCGCTTACCAAATACAGCAGCAATTAAAACAATTAAAAACGCAAACCAAATGAAACGACACAGCCCAGATTAAAAAAGCAACCATTCAAACCAAGCACAACCCACACGTGAATCCCAGGCCTGGGAGCACAATCAGAGTTTTGGGGAGCCCCAGGAGAGAAACGCCACCCCTCTTGCCGGGGGATGCTGCTCCAAAGGGAGGGGAGGGGAGCGGTAGAAAAGGCAGAACTCCTCAGCCCCAAGAGAAGGCAGCCTTTAAGAGAAGCGACCTAGAGGGCAGAACCCACGTGAGAACGGCATGTCAGCCCTTCCTGGGCATTCCAGGGAGCTGCCAGCGCCGCCCTCTCCACCCCCCCCCGCCCCCGGGTTTTCCATCTTCCTCCAGAGAGTCTGGGGGGATCCATCAACCCCCTCCCGCTTACAGACATGAAAGGGAAGCTTTGCCCCAGTCTGGAAAACACGCCGGCGGCCTTTTGCGCTCGGGAGGCCAAAGTCTGAGCAGCTGGCCGGCCAGCCTCTGCCCCCCTCCCCGCCGCCCCCCAACCTCTCCCGGCCCGGCCCGATGTGGAAGAGCAGAGATCCGACTCGGGGGGCTGAGTCAGTTTCCTGCCTCCCCGCCGGAGCCCCGCGTGGGACACGCAGGAACCGGGGCCGTCGGAAGGCGGGCGGGGCGCCCTGGGGCCGCAGGAGGAGGAGCGGCTTACTCAGCCGGGCCGGCCTTGGCTTCCTCCTTCCTCCCCTCCTCTTCCCCGCTGACTTCACTCCCGGCCGCCGCCGCCGCCGGAGTTTCCACGCGGCCGCCCGGCAGATCCGGCATCTCAGGAGCGCGCCCGGCCGGGCCGCCCAGCTGGCGGAGAAGGGAGGCCGGGAGGCAGAGGAGCGCCCCTTCGCCTCCGTCCCGGGGTGGGAGGCGGGCTCGGAGCAGGCTCGCCCGGGGAGCAGCAGGCGACGAAGCCCCGGGGGAAACCAGGTCGCGCCAAGCCCGGGCAGATGCCGTCCCCCTGAACTGCCCCCCCCCGCCTTTCCTCACCGGCGCCTGCGGGGGTCGGGGAAGCCGAAGAGGGGATCGCCGGAAAGTTTCCGACGGAGGAGGACCGGCCGCGGAGGCTGCGCTTTGGGGAAGGTGCCGGGACGCTGCTCTCCACCCTTCTGATCGGTCTCCAAGAGTTTGGCGAGAGGAAGACTCGGGGACCCACCTGGGCGCTTTTCCTTCTACAAGATGAGGTGAGGAAGCAGCCCAGGGACCGGACGGGGACAGCTGAAGACTTTGAAAGCGCTGGAGGGCTCCATCGGCTGCTGCTAACTGCTCAGCTCAGGAATACAGACCACTTCGTTATTCTTCAGGGATCTAAGCTCCTATTTATTCTTGGTGGACCAGCCTCTCCTCCTGGCTTCTGAGTCCAGCCATGGCTTTCTCCCAGGTTCAGTGTCTGGACGACAGTCACGTCAACTGGAGGTCCAGTGAATCCAAACCAGAGTTCTTCTACAGTGAGGAGCAGAGGTTGGCCTTAGAAGCGCTGGTGGCCAAAGGACCCGAAGCCTTCTATGAAGTCCTCAAGAAGGAGAGCATCCGAAACTTCCTCTCTGAGCTGGAGCTCAAAAAGGTCCTGGAGACCTTGGAGACCTACGATCCGGGCGCCGAGTATCCCCTCAAGGACAGGAATGGCTGTGTGGACAGTGGCAGCCAGACCGATGACCAAGGCCCAGGGCCTTCTTTGGAGTACTGGCCGGAAAGATCTGACCGATCCATCCCGCAGCTGGACCTGGGCTGGCCGGAAGCCATTGCGTACCGTGGGGTGACCCGAGCTGCCGTTTACATGCAGCCTCCCATTGACTACCAGCCCCACATCAAAGAGGTTGTACGCAAGATGATCTTCCAGGCTCAGAAGGTGAGAGGGATGTGGATATGAGTGTGTGTGTGTGTGTGTGTGTGGTGGGTTAGAGCCTCTTGATCAATCTCAACATCTCAGGGACTTCCTGGAAGGCCCACCTGGAGGGTGAGCCACCACAGAGCTGATCTGGTGTTTCAGTGAACTCATCCCCGTCCTTACTTATGGCTGCTCTTGGACCTGGTGGCAGCTGGGTTCCCAGGATGGGAGAAGAGGTGGGACTGGATGAGTGGCAGGATGAAGAGCTAATGGTTAGAAACCACATCCATCATGTAGGAAAGTCTGAGGAGATAGAAGAGTCCCCCATTCCCAGGAACCTCCTGCCTCCTAAGAACATGAATCAAAATTGAGCCTAAATCTCAGTTTTTCATTCTTCAGATTCTAACATTTCCATCCTCACCTCAATTTCTCAGCTACTTGCCTTCTGTAACTCCAAACATCTAGCTATTTGTAGGGAAAGGTCCTTTGCAGATGCTGGCAAACACTCCTGTTCTTACTTAGGCACTGAATCTGGCTGAATGGCTGAAGCTGTTCTTTTACGCTTCCTTTGCGCCTGGCCTCCGAGTCTCCCTAAACAGCACAAAACCGGCTCAATTTGTTTTACTTACGGGGAAAAAAATAGAATGGAAGGGAATCAGATTTGGGCCTCCAAGAATTTCATGTGATGCACAGCTGGAAAAAGGCAGCGTGGCTCAAAAGCCCCGGGCAACTTTCAGTCTCAATCTTCCCATCTGTGAAGTGGGAGTAACTGTGACCTAGTTTTTTCAGGGTGTTGCAAGAAAGAGATAACAGGCTACCTATTAAAATTCAGCCCATATCATAAGCAACTCAGTCAAAAGTAACTGCAAACAATCTCCATGTACTCTCACTTCATCAACATATTTCAAAATCTCCGGTCCAGCCCTGGACATGCTTTTCCCTCCTCCTAATTCACTTTCAACTCAGATTAATTAAAATCGGGAGCGTGAGATCCAGTTCATTTCCCATCTTTAGAGCGTCATTTGGCGTTTAGCAACCGAGGAGCCAAAGCTGGCGCAAAGGCGATTTCAATTGCAAAAGACAAAGCTGACAACCCAGAATAAATACATAAATTTATTTACTTTTACTACATTAGGTTGGGAAACCAAACCTGTCCATGGGCAAATAAAGGTGTTTTCCGGCGTGTGCCTGCTGGCAGATTCCCACACATTTATATCCCTTCAGAAATACAGTATCAAAGGGTGGTTTGTAGAGGTAAAGGGAGCCAAAAAGCCATTTTTTTTATATCTTCGGTTGCCTGTCATCAGGCCATAATGAGAAATTAAATGTACTATGAGAAATGAAATATACTGCCTGTAATTATATTTGAAAGACGTTGAGCCTGAGCCAGTCCATTGCATTCCAAGTTGGTGAGAAGCCTCTGGGTTAGAGGGCCCAGCATGCAAGGGGGGCCACGGTCAAAAGAGGCCAAGATGGCTGCCCCAACCATCCCATGGAGAGCCTGCCCCCTCTTTAGGTGGGCTGTGGGTAAAAAGAGACGGAGCCTTGCATGGTGGTGGCTGCCATTCGGAGTCCTTTGCAGAAAGGAGCATGGTCACCCTCGGGGGATTTGGGTGACACTTGTAAGAGACGGGACAAAGTGACCAGTGACCACCACCCCCAGCCAGGAAGGCTGCCTGTGACCCTGGCTTATCAGAAAGCCTGCCATGAAACTCAGATTGACCAAAGCCTTGGTTGCATTGGGGATCAACATCAATGTGCTTCTCTGATGATGGCCACGGCATTATGGCAGGCGGTATTTTGGAGCAGAAGAGGACAAAACCGGAAGGAGCGATAATTAATACCTGAAATGAAAGAAAGAAAAATAGATCTTGGTCTGTCTGGGAGGGCAAAGGAAAAGGAAGGACGTGATCCGGTCTGAATGAAGGTGGGCTGGTTTTCTGGAGCAGAGCTGATAATCCAGGCAAGGAAGGAAAGGAATGGTTTTAATAATTAATAAAAGGGCTAAAATATCAGTTAGGAAGCGTACTTTGCTGTCACCTTGTTGTGTCTATGGAAGTACACATCCTCAGCTTGATGATTGTTATGTTATTCCATTGCAAAACCAAGGATGGTCTTGGGGGGCAAAAAATCTGCAATATTCTGAATAGATGCCATGGGGGGGGGGAAACACTCTACTTACAGAGGGAGGGAACAATGGCCTTTTTATGACTTGTGGACTTCACTGGCTCAGGAGTTCTGGGAATTGAAGTCCAGAAGTCATAAAAGGGCCGTGGTTCCCCATCCCTGCTCCACTAGGTGACAAGAATAACTGAAAACAAGATGAGAGAGTAAAGGAAAAGTCCTCGGGACATCAGAAATCCCAGCATGGTGACTGGTTTGGTGAGCGTTTGGTTAGGACCAAGTCTTTGTTTCCAAGACATGACTTAATAACAAGTCTATTCATATATTTGCATGAAAAGGAATTAATATATTTCTAGAAGCATAACTGATTTTACTGCGGGAGAGAATGAGTGGCTTCAAGGATGATGAGGTTTTATAAAATATGGAGCTGACTTTTTTGACTAGTATCAAAGTGGCCTTTTTGAAATATCAAATGAATACAGAAGTTTACAAGAAGCAAGATTGAAAAGTTCAGTGAAGCTTCACGGTGAGCAGGAGATGTACAGACCAGATTCTTGTCCTTCAGCAGGTCACTGAGAAATACATGTCTATGAGAAAGTACGTTTCCCGTGCGTTTACTGTTTTAGAAAAAGCATTTGATGAACTGGAATAGGTTTGACGTATGGAATATTTTTCGCAAATATGGAACTGAAGGTTGGTTGCCAAGTGTGAAAAAAATGGTATTAAGATGGAAATGGAGCAGATGTGAGAATTAACAGATGCTTTGCTGGTGGATCAGCTGAAAGCAGGACATCACACAAGGTTGTGTGATGTCCTGCAGATTGTTTACTGCATTTCTGGATAAACATGTGAGGATAACCTTTGGTGATGGAGACGTGTTTTGTTTTGATGATGTGGATGCATCTGTATTTTCTATGCAAATGATGCCAGGTTGTTGCCACTTTGTCGTCAACCAAAAATTAATGTAGCAAAGACCATGGAATTTGCATCTGAGGGAGAAAACAGGGCGAACAATTGCAAGTTTACACATAAATGGTGAAAAACTAGAGCGAGTCGATTAGCCAGCAAGTGACTGAAGAGCTGAGTTCACAAGTTGCATTAACCCAGGAGTTTCTAATTGATGGGTTGCATGGACCAGGCTGGTCTGACTCTCGATGAGTAAGAGCTGAATTCACACGTTCTCGCTAAGTGTACCTCCAGAGCTCAACAAGCACATGATTGCTTCACCCTGGATCTCAGGCATTGAGTCCTTGTTGAACTCCACCAAAAAATACCTTGGACAAGCTTGGACTTGTTAAACCCTTCTAGCCATAACATCAAAGTGTCCTTAGGAGATTAAGCTTCTCTTCTGAGCTGCCTGGTTTCACCTAGAATTGGTTAGGCACCAAGAATCTGTTTTATTTGCAGTAGCAAACGTGATCATCTTGCGTTTCTAAAAAGCCTCTAGAAAATGGCCAAATGTCCACTTTTTCAACCTAAAGTGAAAATAGTATTTCAAAGCTTTTCTAGGGGATTCTCCTGCCCAGGTTTTTCTTAGAGAAGAGTCAGAAAAGGGGGTGGTCGATCTTAGAGGGAAACATGACTCTCGTAGCTGGGAGATTCTGCCTTCACGTCTCCTATAATGTCAGAGGCAGCTCCCAGGTGCTGCCTAGTTCAAAGCAGGTCTCCTTGTGGACAGAAGGTCCACCTCCAGGTTCAGAGGTGCTTTTTGCACAGGAATGGAGCCTTCGGTGCAGAAATATTGAAAAGCTCTAGAGAGATTGACAGCTACTGACAGCTTGGCTGGTTTGACCAAGCAGCCCGAGTCTGAACACAGCAGTGGGATCTTATGAAGAATGGCAGGCCTGGATGCCTTCCGTTGGACGATTCCACGAATTTCAGCAATCATCGGAGCTGTGCCCACGTGATCCAGGGGCTTTCTGGTTTTTAGAGGAACCCCACGGCTGGAGGGCACCCACTAAGGAGCGACAGCAGGAGGCAAGGAAAGTAGAGTTGGAGAGTGAGACAGGCAGCACATAAACCTAATAAATCATTACATTCTCAACATTCTCAGAGTAGTTTCTCATACTGTCTGGGACGATTCCACCTGTCTCTTTTCGGGCCACTGAATCACAGACCAGACGCCTTTAGGGCAGGTCAAAATCCACGTCATTCTGTGTCACATTTTCTCACAACATTTAATTTTTAAGATCTATTGCTAACAGCTGCCATTGGCAAATCCTACGTGGTAGGATTGGGAGGCTAGATTGGGAAGTCAAAAAAAAATCCTGCAAAAATCCAGTGATAAAGCTCCAGTGCCATTGTTTATGAAACCATTGGTCCTTTTTTTAGTGGCTCCTCCTGATGAGATCCCATCGGTTCCGACACTTTTGTTTGGAATTTGTTTGTTCATCCTTGCACTGCTCTGAACGGCACTTAAAATCACTCCAGATCTCCAAATGGATGTTTTTGAGACCACGGTTTCTTTTTTTACAAAATCTCACAAAATGGCAAGTTTTCTCCCTAAAAAAGAGGCTCCAATTTACCCTCTTCCATTCCTGATCCATGCGAGCCTGTTGCACTCTGTTACATAAACACTACTTTGCCTCCTGAACAATTCAGCGTGATCTAATCCAGAAATGAACCTTGGTTACAAGCACACTTCGAAAAAAGAAGATGTTTTCTTGGAAGCGATCTGGCAAAAAGGCAACCTGAGCAGATCAAAGGTCTTTTAAGATCGCTTCCTTCTTCCTTCCCTCAATTCTTCTTCTCAAACCTGCACGTGTGACACGGCAGCACCAGCAGTGGTGGCGGGGGAGGTCCTGCTGCAGACTTGCAGAAAAATATGGTTTTTCTGCTTGATTTCAGCCAGCAGCTGGGGCCTTCCTTGGGCAATCTGGTGGCTTCTCTATCCCTTT